ACAATTGGTCATTGGACATTTGGTCCCAAGACATTTGATCACTGGACAATTGATCATTGGGACAATTGATCACTGGACAATTGATCATTGGGACAATTGATCACTGGACAATTGATCATTGGGACAATTGATCATTGGACATTTGATCATTGGACATTTGGTTCCGGAAGGGGGGGGGGTAATTCAAAGGTCAAAGTCTAGGTCAACGTCTAAGGAAGCCTATGCCTAGTGCCCTACTGTCTACACCTATTGAATAAGAACCCGTGCCTTTGGATATAACTGGGAGGTATGAAAGCCTGAACCTATGGAGAGGATTTTTGAAAAAGGGGGGTCGGTCATTTTTGGTGCCAGATTTTCAGTGCGGGATTTTTAGTGTGGGACAGTCAGGGACAATTGGTCATTGGACATTTGGTCCCAAGACATTTGATCACTGGACAATTGATCATTGGGACAATTGATCACTGGACAATTGATCATTGGGACAATTGATCACTGGACAATTGATCATTGGGACAATTGATCATTGGACATTTGATCATTGGACATTTGGTTCCGGAAGGGGGGGGGTAATTCAAAGGTCAAAGTCTAGGTCAACGTCTAAGGAAGCCTATGCCTAGTGCCCTACTGTCTACACCTATTGAATAAGAACCCGTGCCTTTGGATATAACTGGGAGGTATGAAAGCCTGAACCTATGGAGAGGATTTTTGAAAAAGGGGGGTCGGTCATTTTTGGTGCCAGATTTTCAGTGCGGGATTTTTAGTGTGGGACAGTCAGGGACAATTGGTCATTGGACATTTGGTCCCAAGACATTTGATCACTGGACAATTGATCATTGGGACAATTGATCACTGGACAATTGATCATTGGGACAATTGATCACTGGACAATTGATCATTGGGACAATTGATCATTGGACATTTGATCATTGGACATTTGGTTCCGGAAGGGGGGGGGTAATTCAAAGGTCAAAGTCTAGGTCAACGTCTAAGGAAGCCTATGCCTAGTGCCCTACTGTCTACACCTATTGAATAAGAACCCGTGCCTTTGGATATAACTGGGAGGTATGAAAGCCTGAACCTATGGAGAGGATTTTTGAAAAAGGGGGGTCGGTCATTTTTGGTGCCAGATTTTCAGTGCGGGATTTTTAGTGTGGGACAGTCAGGGACAATTGGTCATTGGACATTTGGTCCCAAGACATTTGATCACTGGACAATTGATCATTGGGACAATTGATCACTGGACAATTGATCATTGGGACAATTGATCACTGGACAATTGATCATTGGGACAATTGATCATTGGACATTTGATCATTGGACATTTGGTTCCGGAAGGGGGGGGGTAATTCAAAGGTCAAAGTCTAGGTCAACGTCTAAGGAAGCCTATGCCTAGTGCCCTACTGTCTACACCTATTGAATAAGAACCCGTGCCTTTGGATATAACTGGGAGGTATGAAAGCCTGAACCTATGGAGAGGATTTTTGAAAAAGGGGGGTCGGTCATTTTTGGTGCCAGATTTTCAGTGCGGGATTTTTAGTGTGGGACAGTCAGGGACAATTGGTCATTGGACATTTGGTCCCAAGACATTTGATCACTGGACAATTGATCATTGGGACAATTGATCACTGGACAATTGATCATTGGGACAATTGATCACTGGACAATTGATCATTGGGACAATTGATCATTGGACATTTGATCATTGGACATTTGGTTCCGGAAGGGGGGGGGTAATTCAAAGGTCAAAGTCTAGGTCAACGTCTAAGGAAGCCTATGCCTAGTGCCCTACTGTCTACACCTATTGAATAAGAACCCGTGCCTTTGGATATAACTGGGAGGTATGAAAGCCTGAACCTATGGAGAGGATTTTTGAAAAAGGGGGGTCGGTCATTTTTGGTGCCAGATTTTCAGTGCGGGATTTTTAGTGTGTGACAGTCAGGGACAATTGGTCATTGGACATTTGGTCCCAAGACATTTGATCACTGGACAATTGATCATTGGGACAATTGATCACTGGACAATTGATCATTGGGACAATTGATCACTGGACAATTGATCATTGGGACAATTGATCATTGGACATTTGATCATTGGACATTTGGTTCCGGAAGGGGGGGGGGTAATTCAAAGGTCAAAGTCTAGGTCAACGTCTAAGGAAGCCTATGCCTAGTGCCCTACTGTCTACACCTATTGAATAAGAACCCGTGCCTTTGGATATAACTGGGAGGTATGAAAGCCTGAACCTATGGAGAGGATTTTTGAAAAAGGGGGGTCGGTCATTTTTGGTGCCAGATTTTCAGTGCGGGATTTTTAGTGTGGGACAGTCAGGGACAATTGGTCATTGGACATTTGGTCCCAAGACATTTGATCACTGGACAATTGATCATTGGGACAATTGATCACTGGACAATTGATCATTGGGACAATTGATCACTGGACAATTGATCATTGGGACAATTGATCATTGGACATTTGATCATTGGACATTTGGTTCCGGAAGGGGGGGGGGTAATTCAAAGGTCAAAGTCTAGGTCAACGTCTAAGGAAGCCTATGCCTAGTGCCCTACTGTCTACACCTATTGAATAAGAACCCGTGCCTTTGGATATAACTGGGAGGTATGAAAGCCTGAACCTATGGAGAGGATTTTTGAAAAAGGGGGGTCGGTCATTTTTGGTGCCAGATTTTCAGTGCGGGATTTTTAGTGTGGGACAGTCAGGGACAATTGGTCATTGGACATTTGGTCCCAAGACATTTGATCACTGGACAATTGATCATTGGGACAATTGATCACTGGACAATTGATCATTGGGACAATTGATCACTGGACAATTGATCATTGGGACAATTGATCATTGGACATTTGATCATTGGACATTTGGTTCCGGAAGGGGGGGGGGGGTAATTCAAAGGTCAAAGTCTAGGTCAACGTCTAAGGAAGCCTATGCCTAGTGCCCTACTGTCTACACCTATTGAATAAGAACCCGTGCCTTTGGATATAACTGGGAGGTATGAAAGCCTGAACCTATGGAGAGGATTTTTGAAAAAGGGGGGTCGGTCATTTTTGGTGCCAGATTTTCAGTGCGGGATTTTTAGTGTGGGACAGTCAGGGACAATTGGTCATTGGACATTTGGTCCCAAGACATTTGATCACTGGACAATTGATCATTGGGACAATTGATCACTGGACAATTGATCATTGGGACAATTGATCACTGGACAATTGATCATTGGGACAATTGATCATTGGACATTTGATCATTGGACATTTGGTTCCGGAAGGGGGGGGGGTAATTCAAAGGTCAAAGTCTAGGTCAACGTCTAAGGAAGCCTATGCCTAGTGCCCTACTGTCTACACCTATTGAATAAGAACCCGTGCCTTTGGATATAACTGGGAGGTATGAAAGCCTGAACCTATGGAGAGGATTTTTGAAAAAGGGGGGTCGGTCATTTTTGGTGCCAGATTTTCAGTGCGGGATTTTTAGTGTGGGACAGTCAGGGACAATTGGTCATTGGACATTTGGTCCCAAGACATTTGATCACTGGACAATTGATCATTGGGACAATTGATCACTGGACAATTGATCATTGGGACAATTGATCACTGGACAATTGATCATTGGGACAATTGATCATTGGACATTTGATCATTGGACATTTGGTTCCGGAAGGGGGGGGGTAATTCAAAGGTCAAAGTCTAGGTCAACGTCTAAGGAAGCCTATGCCTAGTGCCCTACTGTCTACACCTATTGAATAAGAACCCGTGCCTTTGGATATAACTGGGAGGTATGAAAGCCTGAACCTATGGAGAGGATTTTTGAAAAAGGGGGGTCGGTCATTTTTGGTGCCAGATTTTCAGTGCGGGATTTTTAGTGTGGGACAGTCAGGGACAATTGGTCATTGGACATTTGGTCCCAAGACATTTGATCACTGGACAATTGATCATTGGGACAATTGATCACTGGACAATTGATCATTGGGACAATTGATCACTGGACAATTGATCATTGGGACAATTGATCATTGGACATTTGATCATTGGACATTTGGTTCCGGAAGGGGGGGGGTAATTCAAAGGTCAAAGTCTAGGTCAACGTCTAAGGAAGCCTATGCCTAGTGCCCTACTGTCTACACCTATTGAATAAGAACCCGTGCCTTTGGATATAACTGGGAGGTATGAAAGCCTGAACCTATGGAGAGGATTTTTGAAAAAGGGGGGTCGGTCATTTTTGGTGCCAGATTTTCAGTGCGGGATTTTTAGTGTGGGACAGTCAGGGACAATTGGTCATTGGACATTTGGTCCCAAGACATTTGATCACTGGACAATTGATCATTGGGACAATTGATCACTGGACAATTGATCATTGGGACAATTGATCACTGGACAATTGATCATTGGGACAATTGATCATTGGACATTTGATCATTGGACATTTGGTTCCGGAAGGGGGGGGGTAATTCAAAGGTCAAAGTCTAGGTCAACGTCTAAGGAAGCCTATGCCTAGTGCCCTACTGTCTACACCTATTGAATAAGAACCCGTGCCTTTGGATATAACTGGGAGGTATGAAAGCCTGAACCTATGGAGAGGATATTTTTTGAAAATAGAATATAACGAGGGATTTGACTTTCAGTAAGTTTGGTGTTCCTACTGAGCCACCCATGGCTGATTATCTCACGATATTCATCCTAAATCCCTCTTTCTTGGTAAAATTATTTTAGAACTGTTTTATAAAAATTACTCGTACTTGTAAAAACAACAACAGATTTATTTAACACAGATCTGTGTCGAAACTTTTTTCAAAATTTAATTACGATGAGATAATCGATAAAATCTAATTAATCAGCCTTTTATCCGATCTTTATTTACTTGGCTGCATGATATTATCTAATTATGTGGACATTATTAATATAACTTTTATTTTTCATTTTTAAACACAGATTTTTTATAAGTTATAGACGAAATCTATCGGTTCTTTTTATTTATCCATTTGAAATTCTTTTTTAAGCACTCAAAGCCACTACTTGGCACCATTTTCCTTTATCCATAAGATTACAGTATCCGTCCCCTGCTGAAATGAAGGTTACCATCTCTTCTATTTTCACTCCTCTTATGGCGATACTTTTCCCATCAATGACATTTGAATTATGCAATGATGCACATGTAACAATGAACTTATGGTCCGGAAAGCGAATATTCATTGCACTTTGAATAGCGTTAGTTGTCATTTCTTTTCCCACATTTTCAATAATAGCCTGAAACAAAAATACTGTAAATATTGTTAAAACGAGATGCTTTATTAAATGTATCACAATTCTTAAATCGTATCATGCAAGTGTAACAAATGCACAGAAATGCATGATTAAATCGTATCATGCAAGTGTAACAAATGCACAGAGAAATACACCTAACTACATAAAAGGCATTTAATTATTTTCAGTTATCTGTACATGTGGTTACTACTATGTAAATTATAATTGTATAACTGTTTTTTATATCAATTTTAGGCAATCCCGGAGAATTGGGGTTTCTTCGAATAAAAATTTTAAAAATAAGAAAAAGGTTTTTTCTAGGGTAAAAAAATATACTGATTACAAATCTGAACTCGGATTTTGAAAAAGTCGAATCCCGGACCCGAACCAAATTTCGAACCCTGAACCCGGATTTCGAATATGCAAATGATAGCTCGTTCGAAAGAGCTCATCGAGCTGCATCGAATGATACCAAAATCAACGTGATTGGACCTGTTTTGACAAAGTTATGACATAAAGTATACCTATGGGAGTACTGTAGGAGTCGGCGACTTATGTCATAACTTTGTCAAAACTTGATGAATCACTGTAATTTTTGTGTCATTCGACTCAGCTCGACGAGCTCTTTCGAATGAGCTATCATTTGCCTAAACTTTTTTTTACTCCAAAAAATCACTCCTATGGTTTTTCAATATTCCGGGGTCTGTATCTCGGTCCAATCATGTCGGATTTCATCGATTTTGGTGTCATTCGATGCATCTCGATGAGTTCTACCTGCATATGAAAGACTGACCATTTTGTACAATGTCCTACAATGTCCGGGGTCAAATTCCGAATTCGGGTCCGGGATTCGACTTTTTCAAAATCCGAGCTCAGATTCGTAATCAGCATATTTTTTTACCCTAGAAAAAACCTTTTTCTTATTTTTAAAGTTTTTTTTCGAAGAAACCCCAATTCTCCGGGATTGCCCAATTTTATGTTTAAACCATACCTTTTCAACTATTCGCTTCCATTCAATCTAAAAGCAAATTTCGCATTTTGTTTCTTTTGAATTTAATTTTGATACCTGTGGGCAAGGAATCTCTGAACCTTTAAAATGTGGTTGAACTGTGCGCTTCCTGCGTCCACATCCACCGCCACCACCACCGCCGCAACAACACATTGTTGGAGCAGGAGCGGGCATTGGAAATCCACAGCTATTGACCATTTCCAAACACAAAAGAGCAATTAAAAGCAAAGCTGTTATTCGCAACATAAATTAGTTTTCTAATCTCTATAGAAAAATTTAAATATAATTTATCCTAATACGTGTATCGTCGAAAAAATGTTTAGCATAACTTATCATGTTTTGATAATTTTCAATATGGCATTCGTATAATGCACATATCTCTATTTTTTAATTAATTTTTAAAACAAATTTCGATGACCATGTGAATTTGATTTTTCACAGTAAAAATATTCTTGCATGGAGACGAATTACTGAATGGGAAGATGAATAATGTCGAGTGCTCTTATATGCTTTACACGGTCATTTTTTGTGCAACTTTATAAGCAATTTTAAAGCGCAATCCAGATTTAATAAACGTAATTGGATTACCAACCGGCTGGGCGCTTTCTTGAGCTTATATAAATTTTAAATTGCTGCTTAGTTCATGTTTTTAGCTCATGTTTTTTTGGATATTTTTACTTTGATGACCATTCCTTCGTGCTTTCATCCCTGAGCGCTTCTTTATATTAATTTTTAGTTAGATTAACTTATATATGGTAAATGCTATAGTGATTCTTAAAAAATAGTAGCAAAAAGTAGGCATATCTCATGTGGATAAAAATTTAATTAGTATTAAACCAGTTATTTTCTATTAAACGGGTTGATGTAAGTCCAAATCCCTAATTTTAACTAAATCCAAGAAGAAAAATAAGTTTAACGTGGAATAAATGAGATTTCAGTTCCGTAACTGGTGTTTACAGAAATTTTCCAGAAAATTGACAAATTGTCAATTGTTCTAAGATTTTCATATTCTAAAAGATTAACAGCTTTAAATGATCTAATAGTGCGTTATTTTACTGTTAAAATTTTAAGCCGAACATTAATGTATGATAACAGTAAGAAATAAAATGTGAAAAACAATAAAGGGATAAACATTTAAAGTATCAATTAGCTAGTTATTAAAGATGACTGAAATATTTAGATATATTCATGTTACAAAAAATATACGAGATAAGTATTTTTAAACGCATAAAAACGTCCTTTGGAATTCGAAAAGAAATAAAATTACAGCAGCCCATCCCGCAAATGCTTTTTCAAAATATATTGTAGACATTAGTAAACCGGGCAGATGGAACAGACAAAAGATGTTTTTCGAATCAAGTGTGACAACTATCGAATAAAGAACTGTATTCTGGCAGTTTTAACGTTATTGTCATTTTACCTTAGGTTTCTATAGTATGTACTTCATATTAACCGCCAGGCTTAAAACTGGTTGCGCTTGACGTAGAATTAGGTCGACGCGGTGATGCTTCCCTGCTTCCACTTTGTGATGACGCTATTGAACCAGTAGCTGCAGTTGCCATTGATGGTGGCATTCGTTCGTTGATTTGATCCAACTTCTTGGCATCCTCAAACGACTTTATCGGATGCTGTGGGTCATTGCTGCATTTTAGTGCTGAAAAGTTAAATCGTCTAATCGATTTAGGGTTACAATTGTTCAAATAGATAGCAGAGATTTTTCTAAGATAATACCTTGATGGATTGCCGGTTTTCCTCCTGAAAGAACGCCTAGCGGCAACGAACCAGTTGGAGTTAGGCCTTTAAGTTGGAGTACTGTCTCACTCTCTTCCCTAAAAATCATTTGAAGTGTTTTATTGAAATGCAGAAATAATGCAAAACCTCAGTACAGAAAATGTTCGTGCCATTTTTCCAATAGCTCTGATTTTATGCCTAATGATTTCTTTCCGCGTTGAAGGCATTCCACCTAAATTAAAGGGAAAATAGAAGAACAAAAGCTTATGGAAAACTGCAAAAAAATTCCCGAAGCAAAAAGAAATATAAAACAGAAACAGACTCAAAGCAAAAATTTCCCATCTTTTTTAGTAATAAACAGAGCTAATATTATAAATAAATTGTTAGAAAATGTACATAAGTTCACTGCAAAAATAGTGAAATTATTAGTCGACTATAAAATGTTTGTAAAATTATCAGCTTTAGTAAACTTAATATTTGATAACCAAATCGTAATAAATTTAGTGAGGCGATCATTTTTTAGTTCTAGAATGAAGAAAATAAAATTTAATCCCCGAACAAATACTTAAAGCAAAAAATAGATCAAGCAAAAACAAGGAATTAAAAAAATAAAAGGCCAAAAAGCAAAATAAAAACTAAAACCAAAAAGGAAAATGAGCTATTTGATTGCCCACCTTCGGTTCCTGCATAAGATCAATGCATAAAATAGTAAAATGTTAGATAAACCAATAATAAAAATAAACCAAAAATTTGTTTACAAAATTTTCAATTTTCCTTATGTTTATGTCTATTCTTATATCTTAATGCTTACCTAGCTTTTAACTAGTAATATTAATAACAAAATAATTAAAAAGTTATTCACAACTATCTTGGTATGAAAGTGCATGTGTATGAAATGCAATTGTGATTGCATAATTATGGATTGATTCACACCCACAATCAGCAACTTTAATAAATTTTAAGGGAAATGCCGAATGAAACGTCAAGAAATATTAATGGATCAAAAATTTATAAAAATAAATTAAAAAATCAACTTTTCCTATCTTAACAAAACGAATTTCGAATTTTGAAGAATTGTCTTAAAATGATCGCCCCACAAACACAGTAAAAATAGCAACTAAAAATATAAGGAATTAAGTTAGCAAAAATTATATCTTGATTAAATTTAACAAACAAGAAAACATAAATATGGAGAAATCGTACTTATTAACTGTTAATTTTTAGTATTATACAGGAGACAATGACATTAAATAAGCACAAAACATAAAAAGGGATAACAAACAAAACGTTTCACTCGGCAAGATAATAAAAACATGTTGCTGTTTGTGAGATAAGTGAATCAACTAAAAACATATTCATGCACAAACTTCACATCAAAATTTATTTTTTCTAAGTCTAACAGATTAAATTACAAATTAAAACTTCCCCAATGGAATATTTTAAATGTATTTCTCGAAAATTAAACTTGAATGAATACCTATTAGTAGCTTAAAGCGTTTAACTGCTTAAATAATAGGCCTGCACCAACCTTCGAATGTATCATCTCCTTCAGCCATCAACTCATCGTCAGAACAAATGTTTAGAATATGTACAAGCATTTCTGTTACTGAAATGGAAAAAAAGTAATTTAAAAAATCACATCTATTCAAACAACGATTAAACGAACCTTTCTCCCCGACAAATGGCAAAGACCATGCTAAAACAAAATTGTTTATTAAATATTATTTTACAATATGTTGAACTGAAATTAAATAATATATCAGCCTAAAATTCCTTAACGAACGAATCTTAAATAAACGTACTAAATACGTCCATAAAGTTAGGCAGCCAGTAAGGATGAGGAGAACAGTTGAATTGACGTATGTTCATAACATTGTTCTCGTACTTGAGGATGGCAGCTATAGTACATAAATCAGCAATTTTAACTTATTATTAAACCTTTATTATTGTATACATCCAAATAGTTGGGAGCACTGAAAATAGTTATAAGCGACGGAAATCCGGTGGCCTGCGACTTTCTGTACATCTAAATTAATAAATATACACAAAATAGATTAAATTATTCGATACTCTATATCCGGCATCCTGTGCTTCATGTGCACGAATGATTGAAAGGAGATTATTATGTTGAAGAAAATCGCAACAAGCAGAATAACTAATGGTAAAAATTAACCTTGGTTACTTTAAACTCTTAATAAAGGCAAATACCTGTAGAAGTATGAGCACCCACGTACGGAATTGTGAGAGAATTGTTCTGAATTTCGCTCATTACCAAAATCCTCGAGTGGGTCAGACCATAAAAGATCACACATTGGCCCAAAAGCTGGTGGCTCTTTAAAGCGATCCAACTGTTATAATTTGCTTTTTAATTTAAATAACATAGTCTTCTGCTACATAAAAATGAGATTAAAATAAATGGCAACCTTCTTTATATCGTCAAGAGTATGAATTTCGGGTGAGAGACCTCCATGTACGCACAAAAATTGTTGATTCATTAAAGCAGCTAAAGGAAGAGCGTCAAAAGATTCCATACAAGCATCATAAACACTTTCGGAATACTTTATTTTACATTCCTGTATGTGATAAATTTACAAATAAAATTTTCTTAATAGAAAATTATTTGCCTGTTTGAAGGTGAAGTATTCAGTTAAATGACGACATTCATGGTTTCCGCGCAATAAAAACAGTGTTGAAGGATAGGATATTTTTAGTGCCCAAAGGTAAAGTACACATTCTATACTGAAATAACCACGATCAACATAATCACCCAGAAACTGAAAAAGAAAAATCTATGTACGTTTAAGGAGTTTTGCTTAATTCTAAAGATCATTAAATGCTTAATCTGACCCAAAAAAGTTTTGTATTATTAAAAAATAAAAATTAACCAAGTATTTTGTTGCTGCAGGTGACCCTCCAACTTCAAAAAGCTTCATAAGATCATAGAACTGGCCGTGAATATCTCCGCACACCGTGACCGGTGCCTCAATATCTAGCATAGTTTTTTCTTGCCGAAACAATGCAGTGCACTCTAAGAAAGAAAAGATAATTCTAAAAAACTATGCAGAGGTTGCCATTAATAATTCGTAACGCAGCCTCTTCCTCTATTCGTCCTTCTTTGATGAAATGTTCTTTAAGAAGGTCACCTCGCGGTTTACCCGTTCTCCGATCATAGACTTCGTCAAGTGTCAATCTTTCACTGATAGGGAATTGAACAGCTAGAAATATTTAAAAATTAGATAGCGACTTAAGGTACCCGGGATCAGGGCTGATCGAAATTTCGTTTCGTTTCGTTTCGTTTCGCTCTTTCGTGCCCTTTTTTCCATTTCGTTTCGTTTCGGAACGAAACAGAAAAAAATTTATTTCGTTTCGTTTCGAAACGAAATAGACAAAATTCAGGACGAAACGAAACAAAAAAAAGTGAGAAAATACACCCCTAATGATGGGAATTTAAGGAAATAATCATTAATTTTTTAGCGATTTTTGTCTTATGAGCAGCCTAAAATTAAAAAATTTTCGCCTGCGGCGCTAAAAAGGAAGAAAGCTTTTACGGGGTTTGCTACAGCAGACCAGCCTTCCGTCGCCCAACCTACCATAGTCAGAAATCTTCATTTCTGTGATCTAAAAACAATAAAAATTTTGAAACCTAGATTTGAATATGCTGGAGTTGTACTCCAAATTAGAGTTATACTAAAATTTTTATTACTTTGTGCGGTGGATTAAAAGAGATCTCGAGGGATTAGTGATATTGAGCTGAGATTTGGCAAGATTAAGGTGATATTGTGGTATGGGCAAGATTGAGGGGATATAGGTGGATTTTGTGTATATTTGGATTTTATTGATTAAGTGAATATAGGTGGTTTTGGGAGGGGGATATACAAGATATCGCAAGGGATATAGAAGATATCTCGTTTATCCCTCTTAATATCCGTCTTGATCAATATCTAAAGTGGTATACTCCAAAGTAATTTGGATATATCGATGGATTTTAATAGGATATCGGAGGATTAAAGCGGATATATGTCGATTTGAGGGGATTAATGGGGATAACGGCAGATTTATATGAGTCACTCGTTTTTCTGGGTTGCTTTTGTGACGCATCTAGCTCTTGGGGTGCATATCTATGATTTAAATATCGATAAAAAGCCTTTATGAACTGAAAAATACAAATTTTTTAATTTTTATTTTATTTCGTTTATTTCGTTTCGTTTCGTCCGAAACAAGCTCATTTCGTTTCGTTTCGCTCCGAAACGAAATAGGAATTTTTTTATTTCGTTTCGATTCGAAATAAAAAATATTTTTATTTCGATCAGCCCTGCCCGGGATTCAAAAATTAAGTTTTAGGCCACTCGTAACATTAAAATGCCCACTCGTAACATTAAAAAATAAATCATAACTAACATTTTATTACTCTCTCTGTAGTTGAATGTGTCGGTTGTGGACGCCTAACGGCTGCAATTGAGGTTTGCGCTGCACTTGTTGGTGAGTTTGCCCCACTTGCAGAAGCATTTGTTGCAACTGCAGATGAATCAGTAGCCGCTGAGGCCATGAAGCAATTCTGCTAATGTAAAGCAGTTAGCCTTAAGATACAAAAAAAATTAGTTATCCTAAAAATTTCAGTTAGATTTCAGTTATTGACGATCAATAAGGTAATAATTATATGTAGTACAAATATAAAATTTCTTACAATTATCGATGTGTTAGAAGTTATTCTCTTGACTAAGGTTGTTAGTAATTAATAAAGCGTGACAGCCTACTCATATGTTGTTGATTTTGTATTGATGTTAGGTTAAAAAGGATAAGTGCAGCAAAAGTGTATAATGGTTTCAGCTGCTGTTTGTAAAGACCGTTATGAGCTCAATCAATCGATGTCAGTGAAAGTTTGCCACAGCCACCTTTCACTTTTCTTTTTTCAAATCACAGCGAGTGAGAATGTATGTAGAATGCTGAGATAGTATGTAGTATGTCAGAGAACGCTACTGCTTTTTTGTCTGCAGGTTTAAATGCGTTAGGACAAATTTATTTTGAAAAGGGTAAGAAGTGTCGAGAATAGTTAAGTTGATGGTCGTTCAACCGAGACTTAAGCGAGGGTAAATATGATAAAAGAAAACGCCACTAAGAAATTACTTGCAATAAATTTAGGGACTATCAGGGACGGTGCTTTGTGATTTCGGCAGAAGTGACGTAGGCAGTGGTTAAATGGGCAGTGATTGATTTGGGCAGTGAGGTGAATTGGGCAGTGAGTAATTTAGGCAGTAAACGTTTTTAAAAAAAATATTTTCCACGTAAAAACAGTTTGAGTATCATCAGATTATGAGTGATTTAGGCAGTAAATTATTGTTTTTAAAAAAATATTATTGCTCACAAATTTAAAAGTATATCTTAAAGTGTAAATGATCAGCACAAGACCGGAGGCATAATATATTCTGGAAAAAATATATTTCAATACAAATCCGAGCCCTAGTTATAAACATATTCTTGAAGAATAAAATTTACTGCCCAAATCACGCATATTTATTTTTTCGTTGATACTCAAATTGTTTTTATGTGAAAAATATTTTTTTAAAAATCGTTTACTGCCCAAATCACTCACTGCCCAATTCACCTTACAGCCTAAATCACTCACTGCCCATTTAACCACTGCCTACGTCACTTCTGCCGAAATCACCAGACACGTCAGGGACTATTTAAAACAAAAACTTTAGTAACAAAAATTTACAGTAAGCTGTTGTATGCGCAATAAATCTTACGTAAATATTGCCCCAAATTCCATTTACAAACATTAAACCCAAATTCAGAGCGCTCGGATATCGAAAAATATTCTGGGGGCAAGCATCCACCCTTTAGTTATGGTAATAACGCTATGAAAGAAGCAGTTGCAGTTTACTGGCTTTTTAGTGTTTCCCATCTCTGTATATGCTTGACGTATCCACACGTCGGGATGTATTTTTTAAAAATGGGAAGACTCTAGGACAGTGCATAAGTAAATCGATAGCTAAAAAGCAAAAAGCTGCTGTATTTAGACCAGGAAGAAACGTACTCCCTCCTATAAAGATATATTATGGATGTATCTATATGTAAGTATATGGAAATAGCTGACTAGTTTCTAGTTTTTAACTATTTTAACATCGGGATTGTATAATATAGAACATTGTTAGATGTGGATACAAATATGTATTTAACAGTAAATTTTTAACATAAATTGGACATGACATGCGGGTGAAAAACAAAGTAAAAAGCTTTGTGTGCTAAATTGAAAGTTGATACTAAAAAGAAAAAAATATTTTTATAAATCTTTACGAGAAATAGTGATTTGGAAAAAGCACGGGCCATGTGACATTAAAACGCAAGCAAAATCTAGTTTATCTTTTGGTGTCAATTTGATGTTGGATAAGGGAATATGTATTCAACATAATTTGGTTTTTTCGATTTCAGTGTGATATATAGTAATGTAACTGATACTACGTAGGTATATGTAGTTCAGTGGTTACACATCAAATTGTTTGTTAATGCTCTAATTTTTATTATTTCTTAACGGCAATCGGCAATGCGCATTAGTAAGAATGCCTTTGAATTATGCATAGGGGGATGTAATTGGCTGCTGTTGTTGAAGAATAACGTCAGCACTTCCACCCTCAAATGTGATAGCAGCTAGCTACAAATATATACTTAGCTTCCAGGTTCCGCATGTCGATAACAGTCACTAAGGTAACTAGCGCCGTTATTTATTACGTCAGAGCTAACTACTACTAAAATGAAAGTTAATAAGTTGAAACGGCTTCTCTTAAGCTTGTTGATAAAAAATAATACGCATTGATATACATATAAGTATTATATAAACTACATATATACTTATGTAAAGAAATAAGTGTAAAGCATACAGCCATAATTCGTAAGGCTAAGCAGGAGATGGTGTAATGTAATGGATTCCGATCAACTAAAGTTGCGATTGCATGACAAAGTACATGTCGATTTGTCGTACTTGGACGCCTTTTCTCGTACTCATATACATACATGCACAAGTACGAATTTTGGTACGAGCTTCCAAACACTAGCTTTAAATCACAATCTTCTTCAAAATAGATCAGTATAGTAATAAATATTATATTAGTATATATGCATAAACATGGCAAGTAATTAAATATGAAAGCAATAGTAATGCCTTTTTTGGTCTTCAAACCAGTGGCTTCATTGGTTTCGTAAATCTTTCACTGCCTTAAAAATTACAAAACTTATAATTATTTTAACTGGAACCAACCTTTATGTAGGGTATCAGACAGTCTAGCGATTTTGACCTTCAAATATTTAAGGTTACAAAGGAGACAAATAATCCTAATTTTAAAACCTCGCAATAAACGGATGGTTTAATAGTTCTTCTGTGTCTGCACGCTCATTTGGATCAACACAAAGACACCGATTTATCAAATCCAAGAACTCTTCCGACTGAAAAATTAGTGTATTTTAAGAAAATTTGATGTTCCTAATTTGAGTTATCTGAATAAAAATAACTGACAAGTTCAGCCATCCTCCTAATTTCCGGCTTTCCATTTTGTGCAATCAAGTAAATGGCCTAAAGTTGCAAATTTGACATTTATTTATTTGCAAAAATTTACCCTTAATGGAGTTTCAGACAGATAAGGAGGTTCACCATCAACCATTTCTAGCTTAATACAAAATTCAATTACCGAATGACAATTAAAATATTTGTAAACTAGACAAAATTAGTCACTTTTAAATTTATACTTATGTATATTAAATAAAATCTAAAAAACAAACAGCCATGATTCCCAATGACCATATATCCACTTTGTAGTTATATTTTGTTTTGTTTACAATCTCCGGTGCCATCCAATATGGTGTACCAATTATTGTTGCCCTTTTGGATCCAGGTTGCAATTGAGCACAAAAGCCGAAATCTAAATTTTAAAATAATAACTTTGGGGCTTCAAATGAACCAGTAAGTTTCACAGCACCATCCATACCCAAAAGAACGTTGTCTGATTTAATATCTCTGTGGATAATGCTATGCCTAAAATATGTAATCAGAAATTAATGTTTAAATAAGAATTAAATTTTCGTTACTTGTGTAGGAAATCCAAAGCTAAAAGGCATTCCTTTAAAACAGCTGCAATTTGCCCCTCGTCAAGTTCCGTTTTTACAACAACATCAGTCAGATTACCACCCTAATTGACAATATTTGATAGTTTATAATAGTTAGATAATTTTAAATTCTATACTTTAAGCTACTCATATTAAATTAAAGAATACGCACATTGAGGAAATCCATAATTACCCACAAGTCGTCAGCGCCTACCAGATAACTATCAATATAGTTAACCAAATTCTGATTTAGAAATATTATGGAAAACAAAACTCTAAACCTTATGTTTGTATTGTTGCATTACTTTGATTTCAGTTAACAACATCTTAAAGTTATTTTCAGATAGATTTAACGAATTATAACCTCTTTTTTGGGCTGCGATTTGAATGCCATCCGTTTAACCGCGACCACCTCTCCAGTAAATTTGCATCTAGCCGTCCAAACATTACCTAATATTTAAAACTAACATAAGTGAAAAGTCACTCATTCTATTTATTTATATATTTAAATTAATCAATATCAATTAATCAATTTGCGATTGAAGCTATAAATAGAAACAGTAATTTCAGCGACTGCCCGCTAATTAAATCTTACATGGTAGTTCCCAATTTTAAAATTTAACGTTACATACCGGTAGCGCCAACGCCAATTTTATCAATAAGTTGATACTTCTGGAAAGGATCACCGCTGTTAACAATTCGCTTTAATTCATTAAGGACCTTTACATGATAAAATTTAAAAAATTAAAGATTAACAACACGCCCCCTGTCATTAACACTTTAACCCTTCACCTGTTGATCAGTCATCCTGAATCTTGATTGTCTTGTTCGTACAACTTCATTACCATCTTCTGAGGCTGCGTTTATCGGTTGATCGTTGACCTGTCTAGGTGTCCGCTGTTTAACGGTATTAGCTGTATTCGTAGCGGTGAAGTTTCTTACATGCGCAATAGGCGAATGAACGCATAAATCTTGATTATCATGTGACGCAGCCTATATAAAAAGTTACTGTAAAATAATAAAATATCAAATAATGGAAACCGGGTCCACACATTTTGCCGATACTTGTGTTCCTTCATTATTCGCGCAAAATGTAAGGGGAGTTTGAATTCCAGCGTTGACGCCATTAATGCTAGTATTGGATTTTCTGCTGCAATTTTGTTGGTGACGTACTGGTGATGATTTAGTTGAAACGGTGCTGCAATTACTACAACCTCGACTTTTATCTGTTACAGTCGCAGTTGAAGGTAGTAAGGGTTGGTAACGGTGCAAAGGTGATGAGTATGGTGAGACAATATTCTTTAAAGAATTAAAAATTTGAAAATGAACTAAAAAGGTGAGGCTCTGACGACATCATAGGCCTTTGTACTTTAAGAATATACCTGTTTGTTCAAACTATTTGAGCTTGATCCACATGATTTATCAGTTGATCGAACATCTATATCAAAATTAGCTAACTTGTTTGAAAGATTGTCATGTGTGTGCAAGGATTCTTGTGAAAAGCTAAAAGAATAAAAATAAACAATCAAAAAATGCTATGAAGTTAGTTCAAAATCACCTGACGCTTTCAGCAACATTCACCCTGGTATTTTCAATGTTCAAATTTTCACATGAAACGACATTGTCAGTTAAAAAATAAGCAGATTCTTGGGAGGAGAAACCGTTGAAGCCATTTCCAGCAGGCGATGAGGAGGAACTTTTGAGATGCTTAATTTAGAAAATTATTAATATATATAATTAGAAGGAAATTATTTAATATTTAAAGGAAATGTGTTTTGATGTGGATTATAAACCAGAAAAATATAGTTTAATATCAATTGTTATAAACAGGATTTTATTGATGAACGAAGAAAAAAATTTTTAATTTAAAAATCTGTGTGGTACTAATATTTTTCATTGTTCTTTTGAAGATTTTTAAATCTAACTAAAAATCAACGAAAATGAACATATAATATTAATACCAATATTAATACCAATTTGTAAATTATACCACATGATATATGTACTCAATATATGCCGCAAAAGGAGATTGTACCGAAAGGCACAGTGGATTTGAAGCTGTATCGAAAAGAATTTTGGCAGATAATTTTACGACTCAGGTAAAAATACGTTTATTTTAATGAGAATTTCTTTAAAAAGAATTATTATTAAAGAGAGCAATAGATAAATTAAAAACGAAAATTCAAATTTATGAAATGCATAACCTAAAATGCATAAGGTATGTAACCGAATAACCAGCAAATAAAAATGTCTCCATTCCTATTCCCTCGACCCTTATAAATCATGTTATTATTATGAGATCAATCATGAAAGAATGAAAAGAACGACTAAAGCGCAAAGGGCATTCGATTTTATAAAAGGGGTGAAACAGCAAATAAAATGAGCACACTACACCCAACATTGCTGCATATGCCAGTCGAAAAAACCAATATTCGGTGTGTGCAAATTGGGAAAGAAAATTGGTGCTGCGTGAAAAAATGTAGCGTAAAGATTGATAAAAAATCCTTTTAATAGGTGTAAGAAAGCATAAAGGGATCATAGCAATAAGGCGATGTGCTAAATATGATTCAATGTTTTTTAAAAATAAAAGGTAGATGGGTGTTTAACCGAGTGTTTAAAATTTGATATGGGTGTTAAAAGTTACAAAAGAAACCAAAAGAGTTCAAAAAATTAAACAAACTTTTGGCTTTGGTGGCAAAGGAGGCGGCGCCTTACACGCATTCACGGATGAATTTATCTCACAAGAGTCTAAGTTTTTGTGATTCCGTGTTGACAATCCTTTCACATCATCACAACTGTCAGCTTTATTTGGAAAGAACTGAACTGAAGAAATTGAAGATTGAGTCTCAGTTGGTAATAAATCCTCTGATATTACTGCTGCAACAGTTTTGCGTGGTGGAGCTAATGGAGGAACTGCCCCTGAAAATTTTTAATAGAATCAATAGAGAAAATTATAATCTCGTTTACGCCCCCTTATATCCTTGCACTGTAAAAAATTAGAGGACAGGCTTTATTCCTTCCCGAATTTCAATCTACACCTTTCTATCCAATCTTTACGCGAATAGAATCAAAAGGGATTACATCACAACGACTTTAATGATTGAATCGGAAAGGAGATGGGGAAAGATACGTCTTGGCAATAGGTGCGATAAGAAAAAAGTCCATGCAATAATAAAAAGCGGTACATCATTCGTTTAGGATTCCATAACGAAACAGATCGAAATTAAGGAAATCTGACAACTCTAATCATTTTTAAATAGACGAGGAAGAAAAGGTGAATAAACAAAATGCATACCATTTAATTCAGTGCTCTCATCTTTTCCAGTGAAATGTTCGTCCAAATTGATAGAATTGGAAGCAATAATCATCTTTGATTCGACCAAAAGTTTATTGTCACAACAAGCCGTTTCATCTAAATTTTAGAATTTCGAAACAGCATTTCATGAATTTGGACAAATTTACGAAAAATAAATAAAAATGATAAACCTCGGTTAAACAGATACAGCTTTTCATCCGAATCTTTAATTTTGTTGGTTGTATCCTGTTGAACATCATCTGAGCTGAATGAAGATTCGGAATTGCTTCTATGAATAATATCAAATGTTGAGGGTTTGTCCAACTCTATAAAATTTTGTTTAGATTATTAAACAAAATTGTCCCAGTCGTTTAAATTACCATGTGATCCGCTGGAATTTGTACTAGGAGTTAGACTAGCAGAAGTTCGAGAAATTTCTTGCCCGCTTGTGCCATAGACGACAAAATCATCATCAGCATAAACAGACTTTTGAGTTATCATAAATCTGTCACAGTCATTTTGTTTGAACAGTTGGGCATAAGTCTTTAAAGCAGCTACAACAGCAGTTGGATTACGTTTTTGATCTATTTCTCTTAAAAAATGAAGCTTAGGAAAGTATCCCAAAAATCCTTAGATTTTGAATAAATAAACTAAAATCAAACGTTATGTCTCGCTGCAGCATTTCCAACCAAGATTGTGGCAATCCAGTAAACTTTTGTCCATCATAACCAACCTAAAATACATAATTAGTGATGCAGAAACATTTACATTACAAAACTTACATGTATCCTGTGAACTGTGTTGTATGGCCCTGATATTTCATTTGCACTATGTTGATTTGCAATTCCGTTCTGTGCACAATCACTATCAGAGCCATTATTGAAAAGACGACCCAAAAGAGCTCGTATTCGTACTTTGGAACCAGTTTTTTCTTTATGGACCTTTTCGACATTGTCGCATCTTGATGGTGTGGCTAATGAAACAGAAGACATTATGCAGATAGCTTGTTTTAATTTAATTTATTTAGACCAACATGTAAGTAGATCAAAAGCTAAAATTTGTGAAATCAGAAAAAAAATTTTTCGTGATGGGGTTAAGTCGATACATTTGGGCACTCAATTCGACGCAGCACTATTTGGCATCGTGTTTTTTCCTTCTGAAAAATTAATGGTCCAAAAATATCAAAATATGGGCCAAAAACGAGTGCGAAAAAAAAATGAATCATGCACGCTGGACTGCGCGCGCCGAATTGTATTGCTCTTAGAGTGAGAATAACGGTTAAGGACGATTCAGTATCGCCGATTCAGTATAGCCGATTCAGTATCGCCGATTCAGTATCCGCCGATTCAGTATATGGCCATAACTTTCCTAATATTCGACCGATTTGAATAATTCTCATATCATTCGAAAGTTCTCGAGATTCGAATCTTTTTCATAATAGGCCCGATCAGATCTGATGATCACAAAAAAAGTTACAGCGTGAAAACCGATTCTTTATGCCTGTGACGTCGTTTATCAGTGATAACTTTTTGTAGAGTGATAAGATTAGGTCAGTTCAATTATGAAAAAGATGCAGCACCCCGAGGCCTATCAAATCATATATAATAATTCCCACAATATTGATCGAGCAAAAAGTTATGGCCAAAAAAGCCAAATACTGAATCGGCCAATACTGAATCGGCGTACTGAATTGGCGATACTGAATCGGCGATACTGAATCGTTCCCTACCCGAGAATAACGAGTAGAGCAGAGAAAAATACTTAACTATACCGGTTGAGTACCAGACTATACTTTATTAAAATTTAGCCAACAAATACTAATCCGAAAGCTGTTGATATGTGGAATATTTTATCAAAAAAATAAAACAGGATAAACGAGGACACTCACTTTTAAAAGATGACCAGATTTAAGGTTTATCAAGAATTTTCGAATAATAATAACTTAATCAGTTTGTTCTACTTGATAGGACTCAAACGTTTTCTATACTAACAATAAGCAGGCCTGTTCGGGGATGTTCATCGTCGAAAACTGCATCGTAATTTTTTGTCGAAAAATTAAAAAAATTTTTTTTTAATTTTCTCCTTTAATGCAGATATTCCACTTAGACGTTCTATTCGTTATTCTTATTGTTTTGTTCCTTTAAATTTCAATATATGTATCTATTTTAAATGATTTATTACAATTCTCAAACATATAGTTTTTAACACCGAGTTTATTCTGTCGGATTAAGTGAAAACCTATTTGAATTTAGTAAATGAGTGAACATATGAGTACTAATGAAATAAAAATCTAAATAGACTTGGAGATCCCTCCAATAATTAAAAACATTTATATTTGCATTGAAAGGGTTGATTTTGAAAGTGACTGATTAGAATTCTTTTAAGTTTTAGGCCATTTCAGCAACTGATGCCCTTTGTAGAATATCTTTAAAAAAGAAAGGCGCAAATATATAGCCTTGTCCAAGGTAAAATTTGCTTTGAAATTCAACCCTGAAAATAATTTTAAAATAAATCGAATCAAAAGCACTAACCAGTGTAGACGTAAGGCATGTAAAAAAGCAGAAAGCCCCTCCATAAGCACAAGTATGGAGAAGGTGAGTACCCCAAATGCAAAAAATATTGCGTAAAGTGCGATGTAACCTTTGATGTCGTTAAATGCAAAGGCGTTCTCCAACACCTAAATAAGATTTGGAAAACAGAATTATCAAGGTTTAGAGTGAGCTTGATAACGTACCATGTCCCAAAGAACTTCCGAGAGCTGTGCGTGTGCAAGCGACAAAGCCCATAGTCTAAGATAAGAAGCAGTATGGGAGACACAGCCAAGTACATACTAATCGGAATGAACTTTTTGATGGTTAAAAAACTTTACCTCAATTGTGTGAATTGCTTGATGGACCATAATGTCTCCAAAAGACTACAAAAAGATAATTTTTTTCGTATTCTTATCTCAAACTTGCCTCATCATGATGTGAGGCTGTACCTCCATGCGATGGTTCATTTTCGCCTGAATGATCCCCATTGGCTGTCTTTGACGGCTTTCTACCATTTTTCACAAGTTCTGTCTCATCCTTTTGCATGTTGATTCTTACACTCTGGAAATCAAATTTGATTTAAAACAAAAATTTAAGCTCATGTAGATAGACCATGTTATCAGAAACAGCACGTTTTGCCCTTCGTTGATGCATCAAAATATGTATCGGTTTGCCAAACAACATTATAGGTATACAAAGAACAGCAATGATAACAAGTATTGCTTCAAGAAATGACTGAAAAGAAAAGTCTCAACTTTTAGTTATTTTTAATGTAGTAAAATTGCCTGGCCCGGATACCACTGGTTAAGAAAACAACTGGGTAGTTCATGTCCATTTTCTGTAAAACCAGCTGCTCGTTCTTTAAACATAAACCTATGTCAAAGATAAGATAAACGATGAAAAATTAATGAAATTACATGTTGATCAAACCAATCTAAAAGACTAAATTAAAATATAAAAGTTAAGCAGATTTTTACCAATAAAGAAGGTGCGCAATGCGAACCCGGATATTGGCGACCTGATATTTTTACAAAATTAATCTCGTTTGTTTTTATCTACCAAAAATCGTCTCAGGTTTAACCCAAAATAACATCCACTTTAGCACAATTTGTAGGCAAAGATATATGAAGATACTACCCATAAATATCATCTGAGGAATAAATACCGTGAAGATTTCAATCTATAAGTTAGTTCGAATTTAATATGTCGCCAAACATTGGCGACTTTTGGCCAATTTTTTACCCGATCATTTTTGGTTAATTTTTTCCTTGTTCACTGTTCATTTCTTGTCGTCCACTCTCCTTTTTTCAAACTTATTTGCCCGCCTAAATTCCTTTCATTTATTTTTGTGTCCGTTCGTACCAGCCACCCTCTGTTCTCTTACTTATTTTTTCCTATTGTTTTTGGACTTGGCTTCTCTGGCCGAGTCTTCTCTTCTGTTTATTTTTCTCTAGCTACTTCGCGCAATTTTTCAAACTTACATTTTTTCATTATTTTATTGCCAGACCCCGCCCTTATTTGCGCCTATTTAAGAGGTAGATCAGCCACCCAAATATCCTCATTCTTCTTCAACTTCAACAACCTTCAACTTAAATCGCGTGTGGCTGATCTGCTTCGCTGGCCCCTTGCTGGCCCTCAACTTGTTCGCCCTGATTGTTTATTGCTATTTGGAGAAATAAAATTGCTTTTTGTTGGACTTGTGTGTGTTTTTTTGGGTGGTTAAAGTGAACGTGCACCGTTCACTTCTGCTTTCTTGGTGAACCGCACTACGGTTCACCACTGCTATTCTTGGCTAGAGTTCACTGCCCTTCTCTTCCTTCGACTGTTGGCACTACCAACAGTCTGGTGCTAGTGCCACTATACACTAGCTGGTGCCACGACTCTTCCTCCTCCTCTCCAAACCATTTGTCGGGAACTCCCGACTCCCGACAAACTGGTGCCACGACCCGGGAAGACGGGGACGACGACAACAACTACCACTACTACTACCACAACAATTACCACCACTTCACCACAACAACAACTACTACTGCTGAATTGAGCTGAGCAACAGCCACAGCAACAATCACCACTACAACAACTTCAACTAGTGTGTGAGCGGAGCCACCGCCACATCACTCTACAACAACCACTCTATTTTTGTGTGTGAGCTGCACTACAGCCACCACCAAAACACTACTACACCAACTACTTCAACTTTGTGTGTGAGCGGAGCGACCGACACAACAACTTCAACTACTCGTTCTCTTTTTGGTTGGCTGAGAACAGTCACTACAACAACAACTACACTTGGTGGGAGGTGAACTACACTTGGTGGGAGGTGAACTACACCCACAATAATGTCAGCAGTGATCCGCCTTCAACTGGCAACCGTGTTGGCCACACTCAAGGACAAAGGACTTGCTGTTTTGGCCGCGTTAAATGCCAACAACACAACTGTGGAAGAAGATGATCGTCTAGAAGTGGAAGCGTTCCAACTCGAACAAGCTGCTGGAAGGGCTCAAGCACTGATGGATAAATGGTCAGACTTCATTGCCCGACTCATGCCAACGGAACAACAAGACGAAATGGACATTCTTCAAGCCTTCCCGCCGTCGAGAGGCGAAGTAAGAGAGGATGATGAACTCACCGCAGTGGCGCAAATTGAGCGGAGTTTGGAACTGGTGGTCCTGGTCAACGTATGCCTGCAGCAACGAAGAAACGGCGGTCGTGGTTCAGTCTCCTCTCAACGATCTGAGAAGTCCGCTAGAGTGATTGAGGACCAAACTGGTAATGCGCGACGACAGACGCAACACCCAATAGCGAATGGTCAACATGGTTACTCACCTGAACATCCTGATGGTTTTACACGACGTCCAACTCAAACGCGCATTAATGATCACCAAGCTAGAACTGGCAATGGAACAAGTGCCCATCACACCACCTCTGTTAGCCAGGCTGGATTTTCACCATACCAACAACAAGGAACATACCATGGTACACCACTCTACTCAACCTTCAGGCCATTTCGACTAGAACCGATGAAATTTGCTGGTGACCCTAAAGAATGGACTGCCTTTTGGATGGCTTTTGACCGTGCTGTCAACAGTCAACCTCTTCCACCGTTTGAGAAACACCTATGTTTATTGCAAAGTCTGGTACCTGGCTCTGCGGCGCACCGTGCAATTGATGGTTACCCACCGTCGGATGAGAACTACCCGATGGTGGTCAGCATACTCCGACACCAATTTGGAGATGTAAAAGCCCTACGCGAAGTCTTAATTGCTGAGTTGTTACACCTGCCGTTGGCCAACAATTCACTGTTCTCTATGCGCAATCTCCATGAACATGTTGAACGAATATGCCTGCAGCTCGAATCACCAGAGGGCTCAAACTCAATTCAGGATGAAATAGTGTGTGGCATCATCCGGTCAAAGCTACCACCTGAAGCTCTGGAGACTCTGATTGGCTGGGAAGAAGACGAAAATGCTGAATGGACTCTGGCTGAACTCCGCAAGGGACTTGGACGTCTGGTTCAACTCAAAGAGCGATTGGAGCTCACCATCACCACTCTTCGTCCAAACAAGTTGGAACAACCAACCATGCTTGAGGAGCAACCTCACTACAGCCAGCCGACTGAACGAAGTGATCACCATGAGCCAGCCGACGTCTCTCGTGCATTTATGGCTACGCAATCAACTGGCCCAATTGAAGCTCAGCATGCACTACATGCTCGTCCAACGCAATCACCAAACCAGCCTGTCGAACATCATGCACTACCTGGTCGTCCACCACAATCACCAGTTGAGGAATATGGTTGTTCACTGTGCCACACTGGGCCAACACACAAGCCAAGCCGTTGTCCAATGTTCAACACACGCCAGAGACGCAAAGCTCGTCTTCTTGACCAAGGCCGATGCCTCAACTGCCTATATGATGGCCACCTGCTCAACAAGTGTCGTGCTGCCAACAAGTGCCGTAGATGTGGAGGCCGACACCACTTCATGCTATGTGTACAACGTCAAAACAAAAAGCGTGTGTACTACCCAACTGGTCAACATGTTGGACCATTTAACTCAAACTGGAGGCAACCCCAATCTGAAAAGCGTGTGTACTATCGGACTGGCCTCCACAAAGGATCATCCGAATCAAATTGGAGAGTGCCTACATCAATGCAACCTGAATTGACCTACTCTGGAATGGTCTTCACTAGCCCACTCAACGACTCTAAAGCGGACTCCAAGTCGTTAACCAGCTCAACTGTGCACAACAGAAGAACCAACCGTCAACTTCGACGCAAAGTGTGGTTAAATTCTAAGCTAAAAGCCAACCTGCTCAAATCTAAAAATGGTCAAGAGACTCCTCCAACTGACAATGGGCCTAATAGTTTCAACCGTTCCAATCGTGTTTGTTCAATATGCTCGTGGCGCATCAACAAAATCAACGCTGGCTTTACTGCCCCCTTCAAATGCTCATCTATGCATTTTCTGTTGATGCTGGCCCTTCCAATGCTTGTTGGTATTGCTAGTTGGTGTACACAGCAAGTTGCTCAAAATGCTCAACTAAAGCTTTTGCGATCAATAATGACTTCCGAGGATGGAACCTCGTCATCTGCCACTGATCAAACGTCTACGAGCTTTTCTAACGCTGGTAAATTTTTGTGTGTTACCCAAGCTGCGACTACCGCGACTGTCACGTGTAGAATTACCGCGGCTGCTACTGAAGGAATTACCGAGGCTGCTACTGAACAAATAACTAGAAGTTGTTCTACCGCTGCAAAAATAAATGTGTGTGCTAACCGAGTGGGAATTATCCAGGCTGCCGCAACCAAAACAAACAAAAATCTATTATCTGAGTGCACATTACGACGTCGACCATGGAAAAGTTGTTCATCACGACAAGGACACCCACAAGAAAGCCAGGTCGTGGAGTGCCGCCCCTCACCAAAAGCTCTCAAAAGGGGAAATCACGAAAGGGCACTCCACCACCATCATCATTGCTCTGGACCACACCATGCACCCACGCAATGTGCTGTCAACCCGTCTTCGGCACTGAAGTAGAATCGCACTGTGGCTCTCGAATATGGCAGATGAAAGATAACTAAGAATTTTTTGTGATTTTTGTCGGGCGGGGGGAGTGTCGCCAAACATTGGCGACTTTTGGCCAATTTTTTACCCGATCATTTTTGGTTAATTTTTTCCTTGTTCACTGTTCATTTCTTGTCGTCCACTCTCCTTTTTTCAAACTTATTTGCCCGCCTAAATTCCTTTCATTTATTTTTGTGTCCGTTCGTACCAGCCACCCTCTGTTCTCTTACTTATTTTTTCCTATTGTTTTTGGACTTGGCTTCTCTGGCCGAGTCTTCTCTTCTGTTTATTTTTCTCTAGCTACTTCGCGCAATTTTTCAAACTTACATTTTTTCATTATTTTATTGCCAGACCCCGCCCTTATTTGCGCCTATTTAAGAGGTAGATCAGCCACCCAAATATCCTCATTCTTCTTCAACTTCAACAACCTTCAACTTAAATCGCGTGTGGCTGATCTGCTTCGCTGGCCCCTTGCTGGCCCTCAACTTGTTCGCCCTGATTGTTTATTGCTATTTGGAGAAATAAAATTGCTTTTTGTTGGACTTGTGTGTGTTTTTTTGGGTGGTTAAAGTGAACGTGCACCGTTCACTTCTGCTTTCTTGGTGAACCGCACTACGGTTCACCACTGCTATTCTTGGCTAGAGTTCACTGCCCTTCTCTTCCTTCGACTGTTGGCACTACCAACAGTCTGGTGCTAGTGCCACTATACACTAGCTGGTGCCACGACTCTTCCTCCTCCTCTCCAAACCATTTGTCGGGAACTCCCGACTCCCGACATAATAAATTGCATGAAGTAGATACCGATGAATTGAAGTATCTGAGAGAAGGATAAAAGGATTTATTAAAGAAATATTTTAATGACTCACTTGTAGTTTTGATACGAAAGACATACACCGAATGTCATTTGAGCAATTCCAAGGATGACACTAAATTAATAAATTAATGAAAATAAATTTAAAAATTACCTAAGTTTCATTTTCATTGAATTCGCAAAGTTAAGTTTATTTTCAGCCAAGTTCCAAATGGGATCTAGGCCGAACTGAAATTTTTCTGACTGAATTATTGAATTTTTCACAAATTGAATTTGACCGTAAACATAAAAAATTTAAGTTTATACCGCATAAGGGCCTGATTGTTTCATAAAAGCAAATTCTGAGGGCAACTCTACCAACATCTCCTTCCCATGTTCTGAATGGTTCAGCCATTTTCCAATTTGCTCTGAACTAAAAAACGCAAAAACGAATCTTATGTAAGTTAGAAATTGATGAAATATGAACATACGGATAAGGATTTTTCCAGGCACTTCCAAAAATAGAAAATGATTTTGCAAAAGCATCGTTGTAGACGAGACCAGCATGCATTGAGAAAAGACCCATCAACTGGAATTGCTTACTGATCACAAGGATATAAAAATCAAGTTCATACCAAAATAATATATCGCCCGCCAAAGAACATGTTGAAAATCTTGAAAAAAGTTTTAAATTTTATTTTAAAGTTTTCACCAAAATTTCTACCTCATCTTTTATTTGCCTAGCCTCTAGATTGCGCTCTCTAACAACCAAATACAAACCACAAAGAAACATCAAAATTCCGTGTCCCAAATCACCAAACTTGAATTCAAAAATTGTATTTTTATACAATTAATGAGGATAAACCATGCATGAGAAGATGAATGGAAATGTAATTATAGTATAAGGAGCAGGGTTCAATTCCAAATAGGAAGCAACTCCATAAGAATCAACAATTCCTTGGAAGACTGCAGTAAATTTGTTTGTACGGTTATAAGTAGGTGGCCTTTAATTTATAATTTTTGAGGTGATTTATAATTTCAAGTGTCTAACATTTCACTGGTATGCACAACATTTAATACAGGTTTCACAGTGCTTCCATGCTTACTCTGTTTAAATTTTGGAATTAAAACGATAACACAATGTATTTCTAGCAAATTATTGATAAAAATAATCTTACCACTCCAGTTTCCAATGCTTCACGAACGGCTTGCACATCATCAAGCGGAACCCAACATTCTGCGACAAAAAATTTGCCAATTCCATCAAAAGTAAAGTTGTTAAGGGTGGAATAAATTGATTTGTGGACTCTAACCTGTCAATGAAATCCAATTAATCTTATTGTTAGAAAATTATTTGAATAATGTTAAATTAATTATTTAAAAAGAAGCACTTGTTTAAGCCAGTTACGATGATTCGCTGCTACCGCATTCAAAACTTTCATTCGATGCTCTCTTGTTTGAGACATAACCTAAAATCGAAAAATTATCGAAAAAAATTTATAGAAAAATGACCATTTGCATGTCGTTAAGACTCGCTTGAACTTGTTGTAGCGCAGTCTTTCGGTCGGGACCTAAAATTATATGATCGGAAACTATCAGGAATGATAGAATATCACTTGTTCGTGGGCATTGATTGTACTGCCTAGCTTTAAATCCTTCGCAAACCTATAATAAAGGAAATTGATACAACTAAGACGCATATTTTCAAAAAATTTATAAATTCAAAAATAAATTCAAAAAATGAATCTAGCTTTGTACTCCAGACTTCAACTTTGAGTCATAACTCGGCCCTGTCATTTTACAGTAATAATGAACCAAAAAATATATCAAATTATTAGTTCAAGTAAACGACAGTCCCTTTTAAGAAATAAATTTGGGACCTTGTCTATGATTGATCGAAGTCGTTCTCCGTTATAAAAGATGATGAATACAGATTCTTTAATTGGTTCGCCCTATAGAAAAACAGAATGTAAAAACAAAACTACAATAAAAGCACCGTTTCTGGATGCTCCAGATGCTCTTCAATTTCAATGTGACGAACAAAAGCCGTACGTCGACTGCAATTCCTCGTTAAAACATTATATCATTAATTAATATACCATACTCTCCAAAGAATTCGCTCAAATGCATTAACTTTTTCTGTTAGAATGACCCCAACTACATAACTAAGAATAAGATCATTCATTATTTACCCATTAGGTTCAAATCATTTACCCAGTAGGTTCCTTCTCGGCAGAGTGCAGAGCAATACCAGCTTCGCTTTCAGCAGCGGCACTTTGCTGTTCGATCTCATGCACTGCGGCATCACTAATTCCCTATTAAAATTAGGTATTTTTGCAAGGCTATAAATTCGGCAAACCCCTTCAAAGAATTGGTCCGCCTTCTCTAATACATGCTGCCATTCTTTAAGCTCCAAATAATTTCGCTTCAATTGTTGGTCACTGTTATTCATGTGAATTACATCGCGTTCCAAATCAACTAATGTTTGCTTAAAAAAGATAACTGCTACATATAATTGAATGCAACACAACCTCAAGTTGATTAATCTCATGATGCGGCATGACCTCAATTGGGTCTCGACTTTCAACACTTCCAAGTATTGTGTTATTGTCTTTTCGAATTTGCGCCTCCAAAAACCCTATTACAATTATTTGGGCTTTAATTAACCTAAAATTATTTAAAATCTCACTCAATTTTCGTTCCATTTCGTCAAAGCGACGTATATCCTTGGCAAACATTCTTTGAAAAGAATTGACTTCCGCGTTTAACTAAAATTAGTTTTGTTATAAATTGAAGTTTCAAATAATGAAATCTTACATCTTTAAATTGAACATACGGCTTTTTGCCGAGTTCTGCAACGCAGGCAAAAGCAGCATCCCTTTCCACAATCATCTAATTAAGAATTTTAGTCAAATTTTTAGTGCCTAAAAATACCTAGGGTAATTATTAATAAAAAACGCTAGTTATGCTAAAGATTTTGTAATACAAAAAAGCCTACTTGACAAAAGCGCATCTCCTCGCTCCGATAAAGTGAACCCATTTTAGCACCGTTTTAGATGAGCAGCAAAAATAAGTATCAATTTAATATCGTATTTACTATTAATAATGGAATGATTAAAATCGAAGTTAGGTAAATGGCTTATAAAAACGTGGAGGTCAAGTTCATTAAATAAAAACCCCTATTATTATTTTTTCATCGTATCAATCAGTCTTGATACATTTATTATACTTCTCTTTAAAAATATCTATATATTAGTACACATTTTTAATAGTACAATGAGATATTTTACGTAAATCCTCTCGATATTATTTAATATTTTGCCCATTAAAAATTGTTATTTCCGTTGCCTTTTTTTCGATTATTAAATATGTTCCCCCTTTTCAATCGTTTTTGTCCGTACACACTATATTGAATACGCACAATTAAAAAATGAGGTTTAAAATATTAAAAATGTCGCGCACTAAATTAAACAACAACAAAAGGGGAATATTATTAGTTAAGCAGAAAATCCATTATTATTCACATTGGATTAATAATTCCCAATGGATTTGAAAAAATAATAAAACTATTTTTTGCGCGGAAATTGAAAGACGTGAAATTATCAAAAAAACAGGGTAAATACTACAAAATAATTTAAAATAAGCGCAATATCGACCGCTTAAAATTAAATGTTTACATTTTTTGTTTAGACACAACCTCAATGTGAAAAGAATATAAATAAATTTGCGCAGTAGGTAAAGGTTACCTGGAACATAAAAAAACTGGGAGAAAAAATATCTGAGTATGAAAATAGCGTTAATTATTTTAATCCTTATAATACTTTTAAAATGAGAAATATTATTCTCAAATAATCACTGAAACGTTTTTTATAACCTTAAGATTATTTTAAGATGAAAATAAAGAAATATTTTAGTTAAAAGGGGCACTATTATGTTTGCTTAGGTAAGGCTTTTAAACAAATGAACGGATTTGAGAAGCATCCGAAAATTTCGAGGATCGCGCGTGCTGGGTAGGGAATTTTAGAAAAGTAAACAAGAGAAATGATTATGTGGGATAACATTAGAGAGAAAAAAGCAATCAAAATTTAATGTTAACTCATGGTTGAAAAATAGTATTTTAATTCAGAGTCCATGACAAAAAATTTAAGTTGAGCAAGTGGTATTTAGATATCGGATTACTGCGCAAAAAGATGAGGAATGACTATTATTTGATTGCTCATACTTCTGCCCAATCATAATTTAATGATGCACAAAATTAGGGAGAATAAAAAGTATAAAAAAAGGTACAATTTTTAGTAAAATTTTTACAAAAAATGCATTTTGGTTTTGCATAAATACAAATGATAATTTTAGACACACGATTTGTTTTTATAAGCAAACAGAAAAACTCAACATAAAAACGCGCTTAATTCCCCCCCCCCCCCCCCCCATCGCTAAAAAACTTTGTTTGATGCCAAAATTTGTAAACCAATAAATTCTTTTGTACACATTCAAATCGCGGGGAAGCGATGAAAATAGTTTTGTGTAAAGTGGTGTGATGACAGCAGAGAATGAAGAATTTGTCGGAGTGAGAATTAGTAGGGAAAATAGTGACAATATATGTATTTTTGGGGGTCATATCCTAGTCATCACCGGTTTTCATACAAGGAGTGAAAGGAGGCAATAAAAAAACTTAAGAAAAGCTTTTGTTAAAAAACTGATTGATCAAAGAAAATGAAAGAATTATTATGTAAATTGGAAGCGATCGTGCATTTGCGAAGATTTTGGGCTTAATTTTTAATTAATAACTTTATTAGATTAGTAAGATAGGTATAATTTTTCTCAAAAATTTCACATTTTGGTAAGTTAAATAAAAAACATTTGAGAATTCTAAATATATAATTGAGAATTATTCATGCATTATAACATTTTTAATTGTTGCAATATTTCAGCAATTGTTGTGCATTATAAAGAAGTGAAAACTTAAATAACAATCGAAAGAATGAAAAGACAAAAACGCGTTATACGCAAAATTTAATCGCGTTTTAGGGGGTGAAAGGAGAGAGAAGCTAGTCAAAGTAATTAATTACACTGATTAAAATTTTGTGTTGAATGAAGAGTTGAAGAAATTTTGTGGAAATAATTGCGGACATTTTAATAGAAATTTTTTAGGATGGAATGGCAGTTAGTGAAATTGAATGAAAGAATGGTGTCCGGCTCCCTATGGAATTAAAAAATGAGCGCATGAGAGGGAGCGACGACCACTTTTTGATTTTCGGTTTCACCTGCGCGCTAATACATGAAAATTTGAAAAAGAAAAAAAGACAGAATTGTTCAACGAGAGTTTTGAGTGTGTGAGAGAGGGAAAGATAACAGATTTACAATTTAATAAAATTCGAGATACAACCGAAAAATTGCGGATAAAATAATTAATGAGTAGAACGATTAGTTGATCACATATGACCAAAATATCGAAAAATATTATTTATCTAAATAAATGTAAACATATACAAATTTTAATGAGATATGTAATTGAATATAATTAAGTCCCCGTAGGATAAATATCCCTAAAATTCAAAGATAACTTCGGATAGATTGAACACCCTCAGGAACATTCTGAACGCAAGAATCCGGAGGTCTTTCCATTGGTTCAGCAAATCCAGCATCCGGAATATAAGAAGCAACTAACGTGGTGTTGAGCCCCGGAATCCCTCGAGAAAATAGAAAACCCTTCCGACGCATTGATTCGAGGATTTTTGGAACATGTCCTGCAAAGTAAGATCATTTAGTTAAGTTAAAAAATTTTAACTTTGTTCCATGCGCACTTCAACTGGAATTTTAAGAATTTTAGGTTGTTTGGTACAGGAAACAGCCAATTTATTCTCGTCCAAATTTAAAACTAAAATTTTAGCCGAAATTTAAAGAAATAACGCTTAGGTTAAGTTAGCTGTCAACAATAAATTTTAAAAATTTAATTTTACTATAACGATTAGAACAAATACAATGCGAATATATATATAAAAAAATATTAGGGTTAACACGATAAAAGATAGGGGGCATTCAAGACCAAGTTTATTTACAAATAGATATGTAATTTGTGGATAAATGAAGCAATTTGAAAAAAAACAAGACACAACATTCAGAGGAAGGCTAGAAAAATAAGTTAAGAATAATGCAGAATTTTATAAAATGAGCAATTGGGAAACAAAAGAAAGATTGACAAAATAATAAATTTAACAAAAAACAATTACTTAATTGCTTCTAATATTTTAAAATACGTGTTGAAAAAGGACAGAAAACATAAGAAAATTGGGAGATATAGAAGAAAACGAGCTAAAATGCGCAAATAATCTTGTAAGCGAGGTCCGAATCAAGAAACGTTTAATATACATTTTTAATAAGGGTAGAAGAAAAAGCAAGAACTAAACAAGGGAAAACTATATATGAAGATTAATATAAAATATTAAAAACAATTATTTGATGGCAACAAAAAAAACAAAGGGCAAATCATTACCCTTGCAAATTATTTTTAAAAATAACGAAACTCCCCTTTAGGACCTGTCCGCTGGCGAATTAAGTCTGGGGTACTAGAGTTAGATGAAGAAGAATGTGAAGGACCTGTAGCTGCTGAACCAGGTGTTGAGAAGCGTTGCGTCCTTTGCTTGTGTTGTAGATGTTGATTGTTAGTAGGTCGATTATTGTCAACAACAATCCGCTGTAAGATATTATTTTGTAAAATATCTGATTTCTTCTTATTAATCCTACCGCATTCAAGGAATCATCAATTTCATCACTTTGCTGATCCCAGTCCTCGAATGCAAGCAAAGAAAGAATTGTATGAGGCACAAATCCAGAACGACTGTGGACATTTCTACATTCCCACCAGTTACGAGAGTCGTTGAGGACCTTTAAATAGAAACAAAATTTTAAAAATCGAATATCATGAAGAATTACCTCCAAATATTCACCTCTAGATACAGTTAATTCCTAAAAAAAGTTTAAAAAATAATTAAGGATAGCAAAAAAACTTTAGAATTGCATGCATTTCTATCATAAGTAACTTGAACAACTTTACTTCCCCGTCTTGATAATTCATCAAGGAAAGCCTTTTGTCGAGGAGAATTTTGCTCCAACAACTAAAATTTAATGTAGTGCTTCGAAATCAAATAATGCTTCAGATATCACCTGCATAGAATTAGAATTTGAAAGTCGTGGACTGCCACTACTTATATTAATATTACTACTTCCATCAAATGTTGTATTTCCAGAAAGATTGGATGGAGGAGTTGCTGGGGCCAGAGTATGTTGACGATTATTTTCACTGGGAAGTATTTGAATAGAGCCTGAATGGCGATCCAAACGAGGGCTTGCATGCATAGACGGGATTCTTTCGAATAAAAATATTTTCAAAAATATATATCAAAATTATTAATACCCTCTATAAAAATCAGGTCTATCGGATTCGGCAATTGAGCGTTTCTCACTTTCTCGGTGCAAATTACGCCTCTACAAGTTGAAAATTTAAATCTTTAGAAATTCTGCAATTAATATCACCTCTTCATCGAGTCGTTCAGCTTCATCACGAAGCCGTTGTTCTTGCTCTAGAAGCTGACGTTCCTTATCCAAAACCTTCCGTCTTTCAAATTCAAGACGTTCTTTCTCCAAATTTATACGAGCTAATTCAATCTAGGAATAATAATTAATTAGCAAACAAAATTCCAATATATTACTCATTAGATTCCCCTCAAAAATCTCAAACCTCATCATTAACTCTTACACTGTCAAGTTTTGCAGCAAGATTGGCCAATGAAGCATTATTGTCATTACTTCTTGTGCTCGGAGGAGAAAAATAACCTCCTCCGCCATTTGCAACGGAGGGATGAAATTCTCCAGATGGAACTGGTGCAGATACACCTCGATGGATTGGTGCTGGAACGGACCCACCGTAACTAAAAACGAATGTTCTACAAATTAAATATTAAAAAGTACCGCAAATGATGTTGAGGATAACTAGTTGCTGGCGAGCCATTACTCAAGTTGTCCCAGTTTGAATGTTCAAGTCCTCCTGTTTGTCCTGGATGTCCGTATGGAGCAAACCCATCGAGAAACAATGGACGATAGGGTGGAGGCAACTGACCAACCCAATCTTCACTGTAAGAAAATATTTAAAAATGCCATTTTGCATTAAATGTGTTACGGCGCAGTATTCCAAGCCTTCCCTAAGGCATTCCACACATCCATCTCCTTCGGAAATAAATAGTTTCGAAGCAATTCACATGTCTCCAAGGAAAGTAAAGGACTATAAACTTGTTGAGCAACTTGTTGCCCAAGTCCCCATTGACAAGCATCCAAAATTACAGTCAACGGAGTAAAAAGAAAATGTAAAAGTTCAGGCGCACTTGGCTCATGAATGTGATTTTTCAATTTAGCCTGTTGATTTAAATTAGTAAAAATTCCAAAAATAATTTACTTACCAAAAGATTGAAGCATAATTTAAATTTTCGAAAAATCTCTGTAAACTCCCCATAAGAAGGAATTTGAGCTCGAAGTTGTAAAATACTGTTTTGTTGTGCAAGTTTGATATCTTTAAATAAATTGCATTTTTATTTATTTTTTTAATTTTTAAAAACCAGATTTTTTTCTTCCCTTCTTTTTACTATTACTCCGTTGTTGTAATTCTAATTCCCGCTGTGCAATTGCTGCAGATTGAATTCGAACAACAAAACGTTCAATGTCATCAAAGCATCGATTTAATGTGTTCTGTGATTAGATGAAGTATTTTTAAAAGAAATTAGTTACCACGTCCATTTCAAAAAATTCTGTACTGTCTGACTCTCCTGATAAATCATCACGATTTAGATGGCTACCATTGGGATAACCAGTTCCTCTTTCAATCTGTCCGGATGCATGATAAGGCGCATAACGAGAAGCGACAAAAGCTGAGTTGGCGGCGCCACCGCGCCGTCCAGGTCTCACTTTGTGAAAATGACCACGCGTGTAATGATGTAAATCTCCTGCCACTTCTTGGGCAGAAACACCAATGCACTATTAAAATAATTTCGAATTGAAAATATTAAAACAACTCTAAAATTACCTGAAAGATATGCATTTCTGTTGGTACAACCCCTCCACTTCTGTTTGGCACATCATGCTCACGTACAACAAAGAGAAGAACGTTATTGAAAAGATCACTTGTATCTGTACTAATATGTGCTGAAGGGTCAGTCACCAAATTGAGAGGAAATTCTTCAACTAGTGCCTGAAAGTTTAAAAGATTAAAACATATTCAATTAAAGTTTACCCCATTTTCTTCTAAAACAGCTACGCGATCTGGGTGCAGTGTAAAAAGCATAGGAACAGGACTAAAAACGAAATTTAGTGAGAAAGAATGAAAACTACCAAATTGCGCTGTTTCTTTCCATTTGCTTCAACTTTCGAATACCATCCTGAAAATATTAAAATTTAAGAAAGCTAAAGAAATGTTAAAAACCGTAGGAGTAATCAATCCAAAAAGTTTTCCGACTGCAAATGAAGCCAAATGTTCCACACCGTAAGCAGGAATATGTTGAGTAATTGGTTGCTGCGGAGTAGAGAATTCATGAGGTCCTGCGGCCGTATGACGCCGTGTGAAGGCACCATTACTGGAAGCAGGTGGTAAAAGTGAATTGGGAACGTTCTGCTATTTAAATGCCGTTACCAACGAAATAATTAAAAAATAAGAAAAACCCTATAATCCATGGAATTTTTTTGTTGTTGATTTGGTAGTTCTTTGTTGCTGCTCTTTAATGTTGTGGTTGTTGTATGGAAATGTTCACGCTGTGTCCGTGGAGTATTATTAGCGTTGTTCGTCGTTGAGTAACTGTATAAAACAAAAATTAAAAAATTAAAACACATCTATACTAGTAAGGAGTGTTTTTGTTGTTCTGTTCTGCCGTGTTTGTGGAATTGAAATGACCATTTTGCCTCAAGTTGTTATTATAAAAGTTATTTCCAGCAACATCGACACTACTATGATAATGCTTTCGATTTCCTAAAGTATTCGGTGTTGGATCGTTCGTTGCGTAATGCTGCGTGCCAGTGGTGGCCAGTTTGAAAGGAAGAGAATTAAGATTCAAAACAGGGCTAGAGCCGTAGAGGTTACTAAAAATAAAGGGGATTTTAATCAAAAAATTAAATTTTTCAATTAAAACCGTTAAACAAAAAAAAAGTAATTTACAAATGAAAGGAAATAGGGTGGAAAAAGAAAAATATAATTGTATTTACATTAATTCATGAAATGTGTTAAATATTTCTAGCGAAACTGATAAGCTAGTTGTACGGAGTAATCATTGAATTAAACATCAATATCGGAAACAAGAATTTTTAAAAAATTAATAACGAGCAAAATAATTCGGCGCAATACAGTGAGGCGCTAGTCATTAGAAATCAGCAACTTTTTTGGGGGTTGTGGCAGTGAGAGGGAAGCTGGTTGAGTGTCAGTGCGCGCCAAAGTGTGGTTAACGAATTAATAAACAACTCTCCCCTAAAACACGATTTTGATAGGAAAGTTAAATTGATTTAATTTTTAAATAAAGGCAGAAATTTTGTAATAAGGTTATTTTTTGTAAATATTATTTGTTAATGGTTCCTATACTCACATCAAAAAGTGTAGGATTATGTTTTTACTTACAGACATGCGGATTAATAAAGGAAGGAGAACACAACACAATTTTTCGGTCGAACAAATGCATTGTGAAGAGAAAGAAGAGATTTGATTGTTTCGTTTTGATTGGAGGGAATTAGTAAAAGAATGAAATAAAAAAATAGAAAGAACCAAAAACAGGGCCAAAACAACAAATTCAACTTTTGTACGATTTTTTACGTTGTACAAAGAGAGGCGGCATCTATACATAATATAAAGGGACTCAAAAAATAAACAATAAAGGGAAAAACTTTAAGAAATATTTTTTCTATTGTTTTAATTTAAACTTTTAAAACAAATTTTGTTTAGGGAGAAATTGTTTTTCTTACATTAGAAATATCATAAACCACACATCAATTAGATATTTAGCTAATAAACTAATAAGAAGTTCATGTGGACACTAAACTTTCAAAAATCTTAAAAATATGTCCACATCTCACCGTTTCTCCCGCATATTCTATTCTTTGTTCGATTTATTGATTTTAGCGAATAGCATCTTCGCCGGAGAGCACAACAAATAAACATTGTTGGCGCATTTATGCGCACTCGCGCACGAAAAACAGTGATCAAAGCAAAAGGCAATGAAATGAATAAAAAGTAGAAAAGAGAAAAATCTGAGTGAATAATAAAAGGATATGAAGAGGATGAGCGGTAAAAATACATAGGAAATTTCTTTTTAAACGGATTAGTGTCGTTTAATTTTACAAAAACAAAGAAAGCAAATAAAAGGAGATTCTAATGCCATATTGCAGAAATTACAATTAAAAATGAGACTAGATTTGTGCAGTTATCACTCTAGAGTAGGGTTATCGGCTTCAAACAAAGTTAACCGAACCTAAAATTTCGGTTCGGTTAACCGAATAACTTGGTGAAACCGACAACCCTACTCTAGAGATTAAAAATGTCTATTGAAGACATAAGTTTAAAGCCAAAATCTAACCTCTGCTTCAGCTGATTAGTAGCCGTGTTTTGTTGTTGGTTGTTGTTTCTTATCCCATAGTTTTGTTGTCGCGAAAATATATTACTTGATTCCGGTTTCAAATTAATAATAGCACGCTGTCGATTCTGTTGACGATAGTCCCCTGCAATTCCCTCATTGGAGCCGGCATTGTATTGGACGGGGAAACCATTTGTTGCAAAACCTGTTCTGTACATCACCTGAAAGTCAAGGGGAAACGATTTAATATAATTAATAAAATTGGCAAAGATCTTTGTCTTAAAACTAGGTAAATATCGATTAAATCCTTCTGGTTTGGAACTAAACTGAAACCTTAGAAATATAATAGATTTTTTACAGATTAATTGGAGCAAATATTATGAACTAAAAGCATGAATATGTTTACTATTTCTCAATCGGGAAATGAAAGGACCAGTTTCTCACATAATGCAGAGGTTGAAAGAAGTTGATATTTGTGCGATTGTGGTTGATTAAAATATTTCTTTACTTATGACTGATCGGATATATTTGGATTTTTAAACAGGGGCTATGAGGTGATAATAATTTATAATTATAAATAGGCCACACAATAAAAGTTTATATGTGTGGTGAATAGTGCTGCTCATTGCGCGAAGGAATAGTGAAAAGAAAGTCAAATGGATTTAATGAGTGGAGCAATGGAATGTTTGGAGAGAGCCTGTTATTGTATGGTTAATTTTTTTCGACGAAGCAAACAAATTAGGCCTGTGGGTTCTAGACGTTAAAAGTAGCAGTGAAGGGGTGCGGACTTGCGCTACAGTTTATATGTATGTTGCTTTTGATTGTTGCTGATTGCAAACCGAAAAAGAGACGACCGCCGCTGAGATTAAAAAGGAAGAAAAGAAATATTTTCTCTTAAAGTGACTAACAGACGTTGTTTTTATTAGGGAATAACAGTGGAAATTTTAATTTTTAATAAAGTGAAAAGGGCTAACAGAAAGGTGTGGATGCTAGCCCTAAAGTTACTACAGACCTCTTTTAAAATTAAAAAAATTTTCAAACCTTTTCTCATCTCGGCACACAAAAATTTTTCCTCCAAGAATCCTTTTCATTTTAGCAATTGTCTGTTCCAGTAAAAGATAAAAATCCACTAAATTAAATTTTTCATCCAAACTAATTCTTTTGCGCTTATGACGTTTAATAAATTCAATAGTAGAAAACATTAAATTATATGACGTTTCTAACATAAAACTAAAAAAACCGAAAAATATGTTGACAAGGGTATAAAAACTTTGAAAATATAGAAAATATAAAACTTTGGAAATAAATGAGACTCAAAAAGAATTAAAAGATAAAAGAAGGAGAATAAAAGGAAGAAATATAAGGTTAAAAAGAAGCAAAGGAAAAATATTTCGAAACGGATTTGGCGGGACACGCCCAAGTAGGCGCGCGGCCAAGTAGGCGCAAAGCCATAACTATCTGGAAATTTTCTGGACCTTAATAATTTTGGTCCATTCTCTTTAGCTCGTTGAGAGAAATCGTTTAATAATAAATTTGGGCAGATTTAGAAATTTTGAAGCAAGTTATGGCCTTGTGCCTACTTGGCCGCGCGCCTACTTGGGCTGCACCCGGATTTGGCGTAAACAGAACGCCAAAAATAAAATCTAAAAAACTGTTTCGGCGCCAGTTTTTTTCGGCGCCAGTTTTTCGGCGCCAGTTTTTCGGCGCAGCATGTTTTCGGCGTGAGCAACTATAACTTTGTTCATAATCATCCAATCGAGCTGATTTTGGTGTCATTCGACTCTTTTCACCGAGCTCTTCAAATAAGTCTCTCTTCGCGGAAAAAAGTTTTTGCCGCTGCGGAGGAAGCCGGGCATGTCGAGCGGAACGACGGGGTTAGTAGAAATGTTTTGTATTTTTCTTTTAAAGTTTACCGGAAATGTTAATTTTAAATTCTGTTTATTTTTTCATTATTGTCCCCAAAAAATAATTTTTTATTCGCTTACATTTGACTGATAGCAATAAAACAAAATCCTTCTTTCTACTTTTTCCCATTTATGGTTGAATAGCTATTGTGTTTTTTTACGTTTCCGGTTATCTTAATGCATTCACTTGCCCTCCACTCCCACCCACAAACTAAACGAAAAAGCGGATGTGTATTTATGTCCCCATGCTGTAAGTAAATGAAAGGGCGTGCAGATAAATATTTCCGGACAATAGCAGCAGAATTAATTGTGTTTGTTTCCAAAATAATTTCTGACACTGGAAGATCCATTTTTTAAATTTTTATACCTTATCTTAATTAAACTTTGTTAAGAAGGCTTCCCCCCTATTTTCTCAATTTTTTTAAATTTATAATCCTTTAATTTTAAAAAACTTTAATCAGACAATTACTTCATTCTCTCAACATAATTTTATATAGTAGATATTTGATCAGTGGGCTTTGCCTGCAATTTCATCAAAGCTTAGAATTGCAAAAAAGCATTAAAAGTACTAAATATTGTCGGAAGTAAACTCATCCATCCATCATTCATTCTATTCTGTCCATTTCCTCCTCCATTCCCCACATATTCTCCACGGGCCTTATACCACTCACATTTATATAAATAACCTTCACAATTCCTTTCCCAATTCGCATTTCCGGTCTCCTTTTTCTTAATTCCCTCCCTCAATATAAACGAAGCAATGAGGGGCAAAAGCATATACAAAACACACTATGGAATTTTTTTGTTTTTTTTGTTAATAATTCGAACCTTGGCGGTACATTGAACCTTGGCGGTACATTGCCTTTGCGGTGCCTTGGCCTGTTCCCCGCCTAATTTTTTCTCTAATTTCTTAATTTTAAAGAATTTCTTAATTACTATTAATTCTAGCTGAATATTAAATAGCAAAATATAACAGGTGTTATATGTATAAATGTCTGTTCATTTTTGTGTAAACAAGACATAAAAATTTATTGCCGTTCCCTGACTTTCTTTTTATTGCTGTGCTTTGTTTCTTACATTATTTTTTATTTTATTTTTTTGCCAACCTACCGGAAATTGACCCCTTCCCTTTCACTCAACTTTTAGGCAATTGTGGGAAAGAGAAAATTTTGTTGTAGACAAATGTACTTCAATATAAACACGCGAACACAAGACGACAGCTGATACTGAAAGAGATAAATTTGGTTTTTTACGAGTTCCGGCTTGAAAAAACAACGATAATTTAAAAAGATTTATTATTTTTTGACATTCAATTGTCTAAATTTATTTTTTACCAAAACTTCTGACCGGAACATTTTAGAAAAACGGATTATGATTTTTTAAAAATTAATTTCACATGCTTTATTGTGATTATTCATGTGTATTTTTATTTTATTTTCCTTCCTGTTATCACTGTCTGTCACAACAGCAAAGCTAAAGCGGAAATAAGAATCTATATTAAATGTCGATCAGCCTTATTCTCTTTATTTATTGACAGATTGCCCTTTTAGAGTCTCAGTTTTTAAAGGGGAGCTGTCCTTTTTAAGCTAAACAAACAGAAATTTTATTTCAATTTTTTATTGTTTCTAATTTCCGGTTGGATATATAGCCCTTTTCATTTTGTCAACAAAGCCATTATTTGTAACATTGAATGGCAATATAGAGTGCTTTACTTTAATCGCTATTCATTCATCTTTCTATCTCGTGCCCTTTATCCCTCTAATGCTTTGATAAACATTCAACTTCCGCCTTTCTCTTCCCATTCATTCACCTTTCAATGTAATAAAAATCCTATGAAAAGGACGATTTTGTGGGCAGACTTGTTTATTCAAATTTAAAATTCGTATTTTTTAAATTTTTGACATTATTTTTTAACGAATTATTAAACGGAAAAAATTTTTATTCCATTTGAATGCGCCCGTTTTATTTTTTGTTTTTTACCCCCATAATGGATCCTCTTCATGCATCCGCATAACTTCCGTTTCCCATTCACCCTATCTCTCACTCACAAAAATTTTCTTTGAGCATTTCTAAACCATATCAGTTGCGACAACATTAAAAAAAATTAATTTATTGCATTTCCTTTACCGATTTCCTCTTTGTTTTAATTTATCGGTAAAACTCTCGCTATTTGCTGAAACGTTTTGTATGTATTTTTCATAGAAAATGGCGCCGAAAAAATTTATCTTTGCTTTAATGTTTTATGAGTTGTTTTTTTATTTTTTTATAAATTTTCACCGCTAAACGTCATTCACTTTGTTATACCGCAAAATCAAATCTTCAATTTTTGATCCCTTTTTACCTTTACTCTTAAATATTTTTTGCAAATTTTATTTTTTAAATTAATATATTTTTTTTATCGGAAATTTTATTTCAATTTTTTTTATTAAAAATAAACGCAAAAATATTTGTACAAATGCACCAAGGTTTTTTATAAAAAAATTCAATAGATTTTCAATATTGTATATTTATTAATTAACGCCTTTTTCTCTTCTCTCATTTTTAGTTTTAATTAGCACACAAAATCTCATTTTTAGCAATTCATAGAATTTGCCAAATTATTATTTTTTATAGTTAAAGGAGGAAAGCATACACAAATGATGTGAAGGTGTGGGTGATTATAAGAAATACAGGGTGCGGCAAATTTAGCGCCGACTTTGTTTTGGCTATAACTTTTTTAATTTTAAACGAAAATTAATAATTCTTTTTTTCCTGGATTCCCAACACTTTAGGAAACTTGTTGATATCAAGAATTGAAAATTTGGTCCACTGAGAGGAAAGAAAAACGAGTCCGAACAGCCTAAAAATCTAAAAATATTTTTCATGCCAAAGTTTAGTTGATCATAACTTTGTTCAAAATAATCCAATCCGAGTTATTTTGGTACCAATCAACTCCACTCGATAAGGAGCATCGAAATAGCTAATAAAATCATTTTTGAAAATTTTACATAAAAAGTTTAAATTTGCAAAATTTATTTTAATTTTTCAATCAGAGAGTCATATCTCGGTCCATTTATGTGATAGACAAATGATTTTGACGTCATTCGAATCAGATTGGAGAGCTGATTCGAATGATATGTAAAATTCTCACATCAAATCAATAGCCTTGAATCTAGGCCAAATTTTATCCAAAAATTTTTGCTCTAAATTTGATAGAAAATTAATCAAACTTAATTATAAAATTTAGAAAAGATTTTTATATCAACAAGTTTCCTAAAGTGTTGTGAATCCAGGAAAAAAAGAATGATTAATTTTCGTTTAAAATTAAAAAAGTTATAGCCAAAACAAGGTCGGCGCTAAATTTGCCGCACCCTGTACAATTTAAAAATGAAATGACGCTTAGAAAGTATTAATTATAATTAACTCATCAAAAATAAAATCGTAGCTTTAAAATAAAAAGCTTGAAAACCCTTCAGGCCGCTTTTAGTTTTAATTAAATCCCGGAATTTTGTCTCTTACCGTGCTACGGATAAATATATACTGATAGAATTTTAAGTTTCACCTAAAAATACCGTCGGTATTACCTAGTTTTAATCATTAATCACCTCGTCCCTGAAGGTCAGGGAATTTTAGAGTTTTTTGAAAACTCACCCCCCCCCCTTTGTCGGGGAACAACCCTATTAATGATTTCGTAAATACTAGATTGTTTTAATTAAAGGATTTTTCTATTTTTATTGTTTCTATAATTAATGTATTTCTTTAATCTTATAAAAATATATCCATCAGTCATCTTTTGATTTGTCAATTTTTATTCTTTAAATTTAGCAAAGAACAATATTTTTAGAGTAAAGTCTAAATTGCTTTATTTTTTCCTATTTAATTTTTAAACAGTTGCTTCATTTGCTTCTAAAGATCATATGCCTTTTCACGTTGTTTAATCATTTAAAAATTAAAAAAAGAGACCAATCCGAGATGGGCAAAAACCCTAAATAATTTTTACAAAAAATGAATGAGGATGGGAAATATATTTTTGCAGCAAAAATATCAAATCAGCGATTTCTCACAGTTTCCGGAAATGTGTTGGGGGCCACTATAAATTTGTCACTCTTCATTTAACAGAGGGAACGGAAAGAAAATTTGGGGAGGGAGCGGAACTACATTACTATTTAGTATAAATTTAGTTAAAATATTTTATGTAAAATATTATTTTTTGTTATTCATTTTTTTAATTTTTCATGTAAAATATGGCAACTTTTGGAGCAATTTTATTTTACCTTTTTTTATTTTTATATTCCGATTTTGTTATTACATATTTAAAAAATATTTTTCCACTAATTATAGGAGAGGAGGAACAAAAATTTTGTTATATTTTTAATTTATAGCAACTTAATATTGAATTGAAAAAATGGTCGCGAAGTGAGCGTCTCATATTTTATTACAAAAACCAAGCAACCGGAAGTACCCTCTCTTCTTATTTAATTAAAAATTTCATTGCAATTATTGATATACCTATACGCTTTTTTTTTATTATTTTTCTTTTTGGTGTAATTAACTCTGAGCCAGAGGTCGGCCGAATTCCGACTTCCGAAAATTTACGTTGATTTCCTATCGCCGGCTTTATAGCCACTTTCTATTTCTGACAGTTCCGATTTCCGACACCTTCGCTATTTCCGGCCGACCTCTGATATGAACCATGATTTTTCCATTTTTCAATTAAAAAATCGATATTTTTTTAATTTTTGGGTTTCTATAAGTCTGAACTACCTTCGTACTTTAATTTAAAAAATACGTAGAGCAAAGATAGTATTAAACGAATAATCACCTGATTTTGTTTAAATTTTGAGTGCGTTCTGCTGAGACGATTTTGTGTTACGTCATCTGCAACAATAACAACAAAAAAACTTTAATTAATTTATGTAATTTTCTTTCGTTACTTCCTCTTTATTCAAGTTAAAAGCAAAGATTTTAAATTTTTAAGTCTTAATTTTATTTTTTAAATTTGCATCCTCAAATTCCGGTATTGCGCAGTGTGAGAATGGGTTTTTGTCCGTTTGACCTATTTGTAAAATTGGCATTTTAAAAATTCGACATTTTAAAATTGCGAAAAACGCATTTTAAAAATTTTTGCAAACGGCTTTATTTTTTCTAAATCTCGAGATTTATTTATTTCTTATTTTTAGATTCTTGAAGCTTTTTGTACAACTTTTTATTACTCAACCAATTTTTACTTTCTTATTTTTTACAACATTCAATTCGTTTTTATACTTTACAAAATCAATAACAAAATTTAAATTATGCAACATCACGAATCTATTCATTCTTCAAAAAGTCGAGTTGTCAGCACTACAACATCAAGTAGTTGCAGCAGTGGTTATACAAGCAGCGGTGGCTACACAACCACAAGCAATTTAAGCAACAGCAGTGCTGCTTGTCGACGTCAATCTGAGGCTGATTTGGAACTTACAATGCAATCTTTGGCTGTAACTAAGGCTAAGAATGAAGAGAATGAAATGGGAAGTGCTATCCGGCCATCTTCGTCTTCCTGCTCATCATCTTCCTCTGCTTCGTTTTCTGCTGCAACTTCCTCTTCATCTTCAATTGATCTTAATGGAAATGAAAATGTTTTGGATTCAGTTCGACAACAAAAGTCCAATCAAATTCAAATTAAGCGGCGTAGCAAAACACAGCTTGCAAAGGTTTTTAAATCAAGTTCTGTTCACTTATTATTCGCCTTTTTAATTTTTAGTGCCTCCAACTCGACTTGGTCTCCATCTCTAATTGTAAGAATGTGGTAAATTCCGATGGTGCAAATAACAACAAGGTTGAGAATTCAATTTCGAATTTATCCCCTTGGGGAAAACGGCAATTTCAGGTTGTTTCTAATTTAAAATTTTCGTATTATTTTAAAATTAACAGCACAACCGTCGAGGGCAATCAACATTGTTTCCTGTTCACATTCTTCCATTTCTCTACCTTGGAAATGTTGACACAGCCAAAAATCGACAAACACTTGAAAAGTAGTGTTTTGGATTATGAAATTTTTAAGAATCTTTTTTCCTTTAAGATGTGACATTCGCTATGTGATCAATGTGACATCCGATTTGCCAAACTATTTTGAGTGCGACAACAAAGATGGACAATTAAATAAAGGGAATGATGGGCCCAATATTACATATATGAGAATTCCTGTTGATGACAATTGCTCCCATAATTTGGCTCAGTTTTTCCCAGGTATTTTAAGCTTTCTGTCTTATAAAGATGCGAATTTAATTTCAAATTCATTGGGGCAGACCAATTATGTTAAAAAAATTTTTAAAGTTTCTATTTCTAATCAAAAATATTTCAGAAGCGATCTCATTTATCGAACATGCGCGTTCTCAAAAAGCAGGCATTCTTGTCCACTGCTGGGCTGGTATCAGGTTATTTTATACATATTCAATTTTTTTAAATTTTTCGCTCTTACAGTCGTTCTGTCACTGTTTGCCTTGCATATCTAATGTATTCGCAACGTTGTACACTTGAAGAAGCTTTTGATCGTTTGTTCAAACAAAATGGGACAATTGCACCAAATTTTCATTTCATGGAGGTTTTTTCTAAATAAATTGTCATTTTTGTAAAAAAATTTGAAGGCATTAACTTGTTGGGAGCGCGAACTTTTTGCTTCTCATTTTTCTTCGTCAGCAATGGGAATTAATTTACCGCCAACACTTTCTACACAACAACAAAATATTTCAACTACAGCATCTTTAAATGGAGGAAATGTTGTTGTTGTTCCTGGGCCTCCTTGTTCGCCATCAGCTTCTTCACCGGCATTTAAACAGTTTAAAGGTTTTGAAGCAGTTGTCCCCTGAGGGAAATGATTAAGAAAATTGATATAAATTTTTCACTTTTTTTTCATATTTTAAGATCTTATCCTTAAACTTTTTTTTTACTATTTTTACCTGGTGCGACAACTTAGGCGCGCATTTATAATTTTCTCAAAGTTTTAATTTCTAGTTTGAAGCGACTTATGTTTAAAACAAATTGCTCGATAAACTTGTCGCATCCTGTATTTTAATAAGAAATTTTTTATGCGAACAAGCATGGCCAGACATGGTTCTTCTAAGCGAATTTTAGGGGTTTTTACTATATTTTTTGAATTTCCTTAAAATCCTTAAGAGAATTGATGCTCGTTCTGTCTTTCATGCTTCAAACTTTCTTATATTTTACAACTTTTTTTTATTGTTTTTGTTGAGACTATACTAACCTTTTTTATTTTTACAAACCTTTACTCTTTTTATTTTGAAAATTTTTTCTTCAATTTTTATTCTTTAAAAATGCAATATTTTTTTTCTTGCTGGAGATTGAATGTTTTTTTTTGAATAATTTCGATCTCTAGTTTTTTTGCTAACGCGAACAACCACCATTTTTATATATTTTTCATTTATTTAGATTTTTTATTTAAAAAATAAAATTGAAACACAAGAAAAGAAATGTTTTTTTGAGTTGTTTGTTTTCATTCAATATTTTTAAACTTTTTAATCTCCTTTTTTAATTTTAGGAATTTTAAAATATTAAAATAAAAATTTTCTCGTGAATTATAACGTTAAAAATCCAGAGGTTTATTTTTTTTATTTATTTTTTTGTTAGAATTTATTCTTCAAAAGTACCTATTAAAGAAGGAAATTATTTTTAATCCTTTTAGCCTTAAAATGCATTTCAATATTTTTGGCAAAGCAGTGATGGTGCACCATAATTTTATAACCCCAAGAAGGAAAGGCATTGTTTTATACAACTATCCATCAATTTGTCTTTTGGTTCTTCCCTCTGGGGCCGTTTCTGATATAATAAGAGGGCCAAGAAGTTGATGTGGTTTTTGTCTATTTGTGCCCCGCTTCCTGCTTGCAGACGTCATTAGTTTATGGTATTATATTTTTTTCTTTTTCATAACAATGGGATAGGAAGCAATATTTTGGTAAATGCGCGTTTAGAATTAGGGTTTCGGTTGGGAAACAAAATTATTCTTGGGCCAAAGTTGGTATGGACATATAGAGACGGACAAATCTGGATTGGGATGACAAAAATAACCTCTTGCGTATTTCGTTGGTTCTAAAACTTCAAAACTTTTTTCTTCAATAGGGCAATGTGCAATTCAAGACCCAGTACCCGTAGGTCCCGAAATCAGTAGGGTAGTTGTCCATGCATTGAAATATCCTATGTGTGCCCCAATGTGTCCTCTATTTATTTTAAAAATTATTTCTTTAATTTTTAAATTTGTTTTTAATAATTTAAAAAGAATATTTTGCTTGGATCCTTGGAAACTAACATAAAAATATGAATTTTAAACAAAAAAAACTCGTTATAAATAATGTCTGGAAAACATCCATCACGTCCTTTATTTTTTACAAAAGACACTTAACAATAAACTAAAGCAGTTGTGTTTGTGTTGTTGCCATTTTTCTAATATATACAAGAATTTCTTCTGGCCAACTCTGCTTTTTCCCCTTTTTATGCCGCTTTACTCACCCTCTTAAAAATTATATGCGCTGCTTGCTCCTTATATATATATTTTTTGCGGCAGCAATGACCTAGACATGAAATAATGCCAGTTATATATTTTTTTATTTTTAAAAATTGAATTGGAAGTTAAGTCCGTTCGTGTATATTTTTTAACAATTTTTTAACATTCTTTAAAAATAATACAGACCTAAACTTTATAAAATCTGGATATGGGCGCCATTTCATAAGATTTCTTCATTGTTTTAACCCTCACCACTTTTATTGTCTTTAATTTTTAAATTTTAACTTACCCTTTAATTTTTAGAAGAAATGGTCATCATCTTATCAATTCTAGGAAGAAGAAAATGGGAAAATAAATAACCAACGCTTCTAAAAAGAAGAAGGCTGTCAGCTAAAAGTGCATCGTTTGAACTGCCAAAAAGCTGCTTTCAAAAATGCCTCCAAAAATCAAGCGGACAATGTATTTTCTGGATTCTTTTGAAAATGTAAGGGGTATTTAAATTATAAAATTAAAATATTTTTTAGTTCTCCGATTCTGGTTCTTTTATTGTTTCATACAATAGTGATAATGAGGACGATGACCCTTTCATTTGTTCTAAAGAAATTGAGAATGATCAACGTTTGGAAGAAGTATTGGGTAGTTTAATTAGAAAGTTTTATTTTTTAATTTAGATCTGACGGGGCTTGTAAGGATTTTAAATAATTTCGGTTTTTTGTGTAATCCCTTCTTTTTAGAAATGAATTTAAAAATCTGGTTGACTTTACTCTTTAACCTAATTTTACATTTGGGACAAAATTTAAAATGAAAAAAAATGGTTTTCTTTTAAACATCAAAAATAAGCCAAAAAATTGTCTGTAATTGCCAGATTAAACAAAGAACAATTAAATTAACTAAACTTGTTTGGATTTCAGTTGTTTTAAAGGCAAAAAATGCCATAGCCGTTTATGCCTTAAAATGAAAGAAATTTTGAGGCATTGCTTGGTTATCCACAGTTTTTGGGGTTAAATTAATTTAGATAAATAAAAAATTTTATTTAAACTAAAAGAGAATTTTCTGTCATTTTTCAACATTTTTTTGTTTAAGAAAGGTTTAAATTTTTATTTTTTAAAGTAAAATCCAACAAAAACCGTTGTCATTCAAAACGTCGTTATTTCTGTACTGTTCCATTTTCAAAAATTAGAAAGGATAAAAAAGAGATATCTTTTGAGGAAGAAGACGAAATGTTCTACAATCGCCAATTTTCTTCTTTTGATGATCAACAACAATATCAAAAAGAATTTTTGGTATATTTTTAAAGAATTTTTTTAATTTATAATTTTTTAAAGAATTATTCATCTTTTGATCAAAATTTTGGATTTGATTTAAATAATCTAACACATTTACATTATCAACATTTCAATCCCTCTGATCAATTCCAATCATCATTTGATCTCTCTTTAAGTTCAACAACTTCTTGTACGTCACTTGGTACCTCTTCAGGACTTCCATCACCAAATGATTACTTTCCTGTCAACCAACATCAAGTGATTTTGATGGGTAAGAAAAAATTCAAGAGGGGTCTAAAATAAGTTTAGAATTGTTCAGGTTTCGTTATTACCATGGTTAAAATGGATACCTATTTAAAATAACTTCCGGTCCTCTTAACTTAAAATAATTTCAAATTTTAAGATACAAACAGTGCATATAATTACGCTGCTATTAATTATACTAATAATAATTCTACAACATTCAACTCCTTGTCAGAAGCATCAAATCCACAAACAATTAATTCAAGTTGTGGTTGTCCAGTTAATACTATAAAGTTGGTATTTTTTGTCAAATTTCTTTTAATATTTTTTTTGTTTAGATATGAATATGATAACGGCAATATCATTTCTTCATCAATTAGTCCAGCAACTTTTCAAGTAGCAATACCGCAACAGATGCCTTTTCAAACTACCAACATTTTTCAAAGCAATAATACCTCTTTGGCACATCAACAAGTCACAAATGGAAATGAAAGGCTTAAGGATAAGGAAAAATCGCTTGTAAATACGCCAAACAATGATTTTTCAAATGTAAATGTATCCTTATTCTTCCAACAAACTGGAGACGATTTTGAAGTTGCTGATGATAAAGACAACAATGATTTTTATGTTACTGGACAACAACAACAGCTACTTTGCAATGAAGGGTTTCCTTTGGAATTGGAAAATAATATTTGGGATAATTGTGAGCAAGAACAAAAAGAAGAAGAAGAATCTAACTCTCATTTCCTAACGAGCTGTAAAAAACCGAAGGATCAAATTTATGATAGACAATCAATGGATAATTCAACATCTTTGGAAACAGACAATGGAGAAATTGATACATTGAAATTAGCACAGCACATTAGCCAAGAATTGAAAAAATACTCTATTCCACAAGCCATTTTTGCACAACGAGTACTTTGCCGGTTTTTTTATTTTTTAATAGAATTTTTAAAAATTTTTAAAGTTCTCAAGGCACTCTTTCCGATTTGTTGCGTAACCCAAAACCTTGGTCAAAATTAAAAAGTGGTCGCGAAACATTTCGTCGGATGGCTGAATGGCTTCAGGAACCAGAGTTACAACGAATGTCGGCACTTCGTCTAGCAGGTTTCTGAGTTAACAATTTTGATTTAGAAACAATTTTAAGCCTGTAAAAGAAGAATAGATGAGCCTTTAATAGAAGAACCAGAACGACCGGATGCAACAACAAATGATCCCGGAAGGACCCAAATTGAGGAAAATAGAATTCAGTCGCAGAAAATTGGACAACGGCAACGAAAAAGACAGCGTTTTGTTTTTACCGAAGAGCAAAGAAAAACTTTACAGGTTAGTGTTTGCACTAAAATTTGAACGAATTCAAGTTAAAGGCAGTTTTCAACGAACACAAGCGACCATCAAGAGAATTACAAATACTTGTTTCTCAACAACTTGGATTTGACTTGACAACCGTTTCCAACTTTTTTATGAATGCTCGCAGGTTTAAAATTTAGAAAATATTTTTAAACATTTTTTGCATTTCTAAAGACGAGGACATGCAAACCGATCGAATAATATAGTTAATTCAAATTCTCTAGTTGAAAAGAATAAGTATGAAGCCACATCTCCTTCATGGACTCAGTGTTGTTCATCAATTTTAAATGGGGAAAATAGTCAAAAAGAGACACCCCAAAGATTTTTGATAAGTTTAGAGGATGAATTAGTAACTCCACAGCTAGATTTGTTTATAAATTAATATATAGATTAAATTTCATAAAATAGCTACATATAAATGTTTTGAAGTTTAGACGGATTTACTTAAATTAGTCCGTTGCAATTCGAATAATTTAAGGTTTGCTTAATTTTTTGCGTTTTGATGCTTTGGCATTTCAACGTATTCAATTTGATTTTTCTTGCAATGAGGAAAATTGAAATGTCTAATTTCAAAATATCTAAATAAAATTTTTTTCTTATTTTTTTGCAAATTTCAATTTTTCTTTTTTTTTTTATTATTGTTTAGTTGAAGCATTAGATAAATTAAATTTTTTATTAATTTGTTGGTGTCTTTGGACAAAATAATATGGTAAGATTTGTGAAATTATTTAATTTTCTGATTTTTTAAAGTTGGTACTTGTGATTGGTGATTTTTTCATACCTTATCGTGCCCACAATTTGCCTCAAAAGTTTCGTAAACTGCTTGTACCGAATAAGATGCAACACATTTTGTATAAGAATTTTTTAAAAATATTTTTATGTTTTGATTTTTAGGTGCACTGGAAATGTTTGCACTCAAGAAACGATGAATTATTTAAAAACATTAACTTGTGATGGTATTTTATAATTTATTTACTTTCTAAATTGAATTTTCTAGTCCATTGTGTTCGTGGCGACTTTGATGAGGATACTTCTTATCCTGATATGAAAGTAATCCCTGTTGGTCATTTCAGGATTGGACTCGTCCACGGCCACCAATTTATTCCGTGGGGTGATTTAAAGGTTTATTGATTTTATTAAATATGTAATTATTTTTAAAGGCTATGGAATTGGCTGCTCAACAAATGGGTGTTGATGTTCTTATTTCTGGTCATACTCATGGTAAATAAATTTTTAGATACCCGTGTATATTTTTCTATTCTCAGAATGTGCTGTTTTTGATAAAGGTTTGTTCTTTTTTTAATTTGATATTAGATCCCGGGTAATTTTTTAGTTTGCTGGTCCATATAGGAAATTATTGCAGAGGATGTTCTTCGAACTTCTTTCCAATAGGCGATCGGGTGTGCGACATGACGGTTCAGAATATTAGCCTAGAATTTGATATTTCGAGCCCGGGGCAGAAAGTAATCGTGGCTTCATTACACTGGATTACTTATTGGCCCAGACCTCGAAAATATCGAAAGTGCACTTTCTGCTCATTTTTCTATGAATCAGTAAGCTAGAAGATTACCAAATCTTTGACAATTTCTATTAAAAAATTTTAACAGATGGCATATTCTATATAAATCCAGGTTCAGCGACGGGCGCATTTTCATTAATCAAAGAGTATTTTTTCTTTTAACATTTGTTTTTTTATCAACCCATTTTTGCAGCAAAGTCATCCCCTCATTTATTGTATTGGATGTTCAAACTGATGTTATCATTGCCTATATATACAGACTTCTGGATGATGAAGTGAAGGTTGAGAGGTCTCAATTTAAGAAGAGTGGACATTCAATTGGTTTTACTTAAGTTATTTTTTACTTAATTTTATTTAATTTGGTTATTTTGTGATTTTTCGAACACCTAAAGTATTTATTTTTTATTTGTAAATGTATCTAACTTGTTTGATTTTGACAATTTATTTAAAGAGTTTTCTATTTTCTAATCAGTATTTTTTTCTATTTTATATCTATTTCAGTTGGAGTTTAAATTATTTTTCATAATCAGTATTAATATAATATTAAAAGCAAAGTTATTAAAATGTGGACAAATGGTCATTCTTTTGTCTTTACTTCTCCAATTAAATCCTCAATGTGTGAGCAATTAGCAAATGGTGATGGTGAAATCCGGAAGTGCAAAATTTTCAAGGATCCAAAACAAGGTTTTTAATATTTGGAGTAATCCAGGGTGGACCAATGATTAGCATTTCCTTTTTTCTTCTCCAAGTTTTTTCCTTATTTTGTACAGAATGGTCGGACTTACTTTAATTACTGAAGCTCCGAAACTAGGTCACGCACGGACTGTTTAAAATTAATCTTTTTGTCTCATTGAATATGCCACAGGGAAATAGGAGAAAGTCCGACCATTTTGTGCATAATAAGGAAAAAGCTTGAAGGAGAAAAAATGCATCCCTAAACCTTGGTTTACCTTAATCTTTTGCTTTTGATGCTAATAATTCATTCAGGGTTTGGCATTAACATTGGTGGTGGAACTGATGCCCCTTATGTTAAAGGAAATACAGGTATCTTCGTCTCGCGTGTTCGAAGGGATGAGTTGCTTGATTTAATTTGTGAAGGAGATCGGATCATTGCGGTTAATTTTATTTTTTTTTTCATAATTATAGTAAATTTTTTTCATTAGGTTAATGATATTATTTTGGAAAATAAGAAACATCGTGAGGCTGTAAGTCTTTTGAATAGTCTTGAGGGCGTTTGTACTTTTACTTTGGAGAGGAAAAGTTTTAATGTTAACGAGGTTTGTTTTATAAAATTTTAAACAGAGCATTTTAAAGATTCCTCCCTCCGAAAACAAAGTGCTTACATTTAGCACGCAACCATCCACATTAAATGAGACTATCTTCAATGTCAATCTCGCCTCGGAGGGTAATACTGATGTTATTTTGGAAAATAAGCACAATCTCGCCTCGGAGAGTGACACTAATGTTGAGGTTTATTTTCAAAGGTTTTAAAATGATTTCAAATATTGTTTTATAGCTTCAAGTTCCGAATTCTTCCGAAGGCGAAGTGCTTACATTTAGCACGCAACCATCCACATTAAATGAGACTATCTCCAATGTCAATCTCGCCTCGGAGGGTAATACTGATGTTATTTTGGAAAATAAGCACAATCTCGCCTCGGAGAGTGACACTAATGTTGAGGTTTATTTTCAAAGGTTTTAAAATGATTTCAAATATTGTTTTATAGCTTCAAGTTCCGAATTCTTCCGAAAGCGAAGTGCTTACATTTAGCACGCAACCATCCACATTAAATGAGACTATCTCCAATGTCAATCTCGCCTCGGAGAGTGACACTAATGTTGAGGTTTATTTTTAAAGGTTTTAAAATGACTTAAATATTGTTTTATAGCTTCAAGTTCCAAATTCCTCCGAAAGCGAAGTGATTATTTACCGTCAACCGTCCCCAGTAAAGGAATTAATGTACAGTCGCAAACCATCTCCGCTGATGGAATTATTTTTTCTTGGTGTTGGTACGTGCGCGTTGCTTGGTCTTGTATTTGTTGGTTATCGAAATCTCAGTAAGAAGTCAGGTTAGAAAAATACGAGTTAAAAGAGATTATTTCCTTCAGGAAGCTTTTATTTTTATCATACATAATTTGCTCATTTCGTTTATTATTATTCTCTAAAAAGTTCTCGTTTTATTTCTTTTATTTTTAATAATAATATTCATGCCAAAAAAATAATATAATATAAGCGGTGTTTTTTAGTTTTACTATGTTTGTGTAAATTGGGACACTCCAAAAGGTCAACTCTATTGATCAAATGCACGTGAGAATTTCCGTCTTGTCCCTTAATCCCCGTAAATCCATCTTTAACCGTCAAAATCCATCGATATTCCCATGTAATACCCGCAAATTTTTATTAATGCGCACAAACACTATCCGCTCAAATATTTGGAGTTGACCTTTTGGGACTTTTGGGTTGATCCTGTGTAAAAAATGTAGGCTTTAGAGCCCAATTTAAACATTCTCCGAATAAAACTCTCAACAATAAAAAAAATAACTTTGTAACCAATGCAATACAAGCAAAGAAAATTTAAGGAAAATTTGGCAGAAAAATAACGTTTAATACAAAGAAAATATTTTGATAGTGTGGCCCATTGATGCTAAATAGGTTTATGAAAAGGAAATAAATGATTTGGGAAATAATATAACAACAAACAATTTTTAGTTTTTAATCCCGATTAAAAACTTTTGAAAAAAGGGGGCCAAAAAGTTAGGTCAAAAGGGGGGAGGGTATATAAATAAAAATTCTTATGCAACAACCATAAAAGCTGTGGAGTATATAAATATCAACCAAAAAATGTCTATCAATTATAACATCATTTAGACTTTTTATTCTCTTGTTTTTGCGCTTTACCACCACCAACTGCTGTTGATGTTGCGTTTGCCGTCTCATTAGCTGCTTTTTTCTTCTTTTTATCACTTCCTTCGTCTTTACTGCTCTTATCAGATTCATCCTTCTCTACTAAATGTTCTTCCGAATAGTTCCACAAATCGCTAAATTCACCTCGCAATGCAGCAAATCCAAGGGGTAATAGTAAACAAGAGGGTACCAAATAAAGCAACGCGGGTTGTGCTGCCTGTAAAAAATATTTTAGAAAATTAAGAAGTTTAATATGAAAGAACCTTGAAGTAATGCATAACACCCATCGTTACAAATAATCCAAAAGCATAGGCAAATATAGTCACCCAGCAATAATAGCGCTTCTTTTGACCGCCTCCTTTCTGTTTGGAGCCAATATGGTGGTCAAAACGATAGAGGAGTGCAACAAAGATTCCTGGGATTACGATGTCGCCAAGTCCTAAAGGTTATAATTTTAGAAAAAAAAATTAAAGAATTTTTTACCAAGCATGCCATGTTTACTTGCATTCAGCCATCCATTACGAAGTAAATCTTGCGGGAACATTAACAAAATTGGTGCATCAATACCTTTGGCAACGGTTGTCATCTTTAAGGAGGTAATTAAAATTTTTCAAAAGTTAAATCCAAAAACTGACCACATCAGTTGCAAATACCCAAAATACGTCATAAATGAATAATCCAGCAAGAAGGATAGTTCCAGCCTTAATTTTAATAGAAAATTTAACGAGTAAAATTTAAAGTGGAAACCTTAAAACTAGCCAAATGAAGATTTTCGATGCCAAAAATGGAAAAAGCAACACCCAAAAGATTGTTGGTTATCCAATGGCGGCGATACAAATGTGAAATACCCACAGCTGAGCAACAGAGTACAGCAATAGATAAATGTGTATCCCATTCCGAGAAAAGGAAATAGTCCTGTTAAATTTTTGATTAGACCGTCTTAACATTAATCTTTAAAAACTGACCACTTCTTTTTTACCAGCCATTTCAACTTTTCCTTCCTTCATTGGTTGTTTGCCTCGTTTAAGCACCAAAACCCATGGAACATTGCGTCTTGGCCAGCGGTCTCCGATTGGAAGTCTTGAAAGAAAAGCTGAGAAAAATGGTTTCAAAATGGTGGCCAAAGCAATGCAGCCTGTCAGTTTATAAGTTATAAAATTAATTTAAAAGAAGGAAAAAACCTTCCCAACAAAGCAACAACAAAAGAAAATAAATTAAATTTTGTTTGTTCATTTCAGGTAATTTATCCACCAAAGTCCCAGCTACAGGGTGAATAGAAGCCACTTTTTGCAGAATTCCACTGAAGATAGTTCCATTAACAGTTGAATTTGTTGCCGATGCTGCTGCCCCAGTTAGCGTTGAATTTGTTGCGGTAAGAACTATAGAAAATTTTTTAATAATAGGTATAGTGTTACGAGAAAGTTTGCTCTGAACAAAATTTTGCGCCCATTCCAATCGCTCATAGACAGCTAAGGACATATAGGGTCGAACTTTATCAAGCAAAAATCCAATGCCTCCATCATTCGTTCTAAATAATTCAGATATTTAAAAGTACCAAAACGAAAATGTATTTGAGGGTTATCCCGAACCAGTTTTCTTATATCTGACCACTATGAGTCAGCTAAACTGGTTTGGGGTAACCCACAAGTACCAAGTTTAATTAAAAATTAACTTGAAAATTAGATAAAGGGTAAAAAGAACAGCACTAGCAGTCAAAGGAAATCGTTTTGCTTCCCGCGTAGTTATCGATGTTTCAATAAGTTCCTTCTTCTCAATTAAATTTTTGACAAAAGCTAATGACCTGATGGTACCCCAAATAATACAAATAATAGCCATTGCATAGAGTGACGAATATGCCATTACCTTAAAAGAATGTTCCTTGAATGTTAAAATTTAAAAACCTGTTCTTCAAATGTATATACAACAGTAGCATTATTTGCAGCAGTTCCATCAGGCGTTGAACTCGCAGAAGGCTCAGAAACTTTTGTTTCCGGCATGTAGTTGTTTAAGGTTTAATGAGATCAGCAAATACTTTGTGTTAAAATCTCTTAAAAATTAGAAATTATTGGGGAAATTTTAAGAAAAAGATTTAAGCAATAATTTAAGCTTCACCTTATTAGAATAATAAAAACACTAAATGTCTAAATTAAAGGCCTTAAAAGTGCAGGCATAATCAAATTAAGAAGGCGTAGTAGCCAAAATTGCTGTTCGAAATTTTCAGGGTTTTCGTTGCAAAACAAAATTTGATTTTATCTACGTGTCTAACTTTTAAGGGGAGATGTCAAAATACCAAAAGGTCAAAAATGGTTCTGAATCAAAATTTTCTGGTGAATTTCCTTTTTTGTGATCCAGCGGATGATTGAGATTTTACGAACATCAAAAATGTTAACTCGTTCATTTATTGAAGTAGAGCTAAATTCTTTATCCTCGAAGGATTTGGCTCCATTGGCATCTTTAACATTTAGTTATTTTGCAATTTTATCTCTTTCGACATTTTGAAAATTTTAGTAGCAATTGCGCGACGTGTCTTTACGCGTGTCTCTCATTCATTATTTCTCTCTACTTCTGACCGATATGCTAATTATTTTCTCATAAATTAGCGTGTGTGATGACCTGATTCGCCGCTAACTTTATTTAATCGATTTGGCTGGTCATCTCTACAAAATTCAGTAAATAAAAAAGGGTTATTCTAATTTATCCATATTTTATTTTCCAAGTCTTTAAACGGATTAACAATAAATTTTTTAATTTTTAAAATTTTTTATAGCAATTTTCTTATAAAATTTAAATTTTAGTTTTTATTTTTTTAAATAAAAATCAATTTCTGTGTCTGGTATCTCTCTCCATTCACAATGACTCGAATCTCTAGAGGGGTTCTTCTGGTGTGGTTTGTGACTTTATTGGCTCTCGCAGGTTTTTATTTTACTAAAATCTTTTTAATTAAATATTTTAGTCGTTCTTCCCAACTTTTCTCGATCCGAACGTGTGGCAGACGACATTCTTGATGATATCGAACCAAAAATTGAAGTGCCAAAAACACCGGTCAACAAGGGAGCAACTGACGAACAGACTGTCCAGCGTGAAGAAGAGGCTATTCAACTTGATGGCCTTTCAGTGGATGAGTTCAAAAAGATCAGAGAGAGTGCCGAGAAACACCAGTTCCAAGCAGAGGTTTTTTATCCCTTGAATTTTTAGTTAATCAATTTTAGGTCAATCGTATGATGAAACTGATCATTAACTCTCTGTACAGGAACAAGGAGATCTTTTTGCGTGAATTGATCTCGAACGCTTCTGATGCACTTGACAAGATTAGGCTTATCTCTTTGACGGATCCAGATGCATCCAAAGATCTCCACGAACTGAACATCCGCATTAAGGTTTTTAATTCTATTGTAAGCATAGGGAAAATACACCCGAACTATAACCGCAAAAGGATTATTTTTCTTTAACTTTGTGAGAATTTACTTTTTTTCTGTCCGATGTGTGTGCGTGTTTTGTCTGTCCGAGTTCGTCAGACAAACACAACCACGGACGAAATCGGACAGACAAACAAAACACGGACTAACTCGGACATACAGACAAAACACGGAAGAACTCGGGCGGACACGGACAGACAAAACACGGACGAAATCGGAAGGACATGGACAGACAAACCACGGACGAACTCGGACAGACAGACAAACCACGGACGAACTCGGACAGACAGACAAACCACGGACGAACTCGGACAGACAGACAAAACACTAACGAACTCGGACGGACACGGACAGACAAAACAAACACACACATCGGACAGAAAAAAAGTAAATGCTCACAAAGTTAAAGAAAAATAATCCTTTTGCAGTTATTGTCTTAAGGCACGTATCAGAAATAGAGAGAAAAATATAAGAAAATTAACCATTTTTAAGAATAAGGAAAAAATTTGATTGCCGCATTCATTTCATATACGGCCCTATTGTAAGCAGTTCTTAAATAAATTATTTAGGCTGACAAGGAAAACCATATTCTTCACATAACTGACAGTGGAATTGGTATGACCAAGCAGGATCTGATTAACAATCTTGGAACGATCGCTCATTCTGGTACTTCCGAGTTTGTCTCTAAATTGCTCGATTCGTCAACATCTAGTGAACAGCAACAGGTAGTTTTTACTTTTAATTTGTTACATTTTTTATTTTTAGGATTTGATTGGCCAATTTGGAGTTGGGTTTTACTCTGCATTTTTGGTTGCTGATCGTGTTGTTGTAACAACCAAACACAATGATGATGCAAAGCAATACATTTGGGAATCAGGTATTTGAATTATTTAATTTAAAAATTCTTCCTGCTTTTCAGACTCGCAGCAGTTTACTATTGCTGATGATCCTCGCGGTCCGACGCTTCAACGCGGCACCCAAGTCTCTTTGCACTTGAAGGAGGAGGCTTATGATTTCTTAGAGCCTGATACTCTCAAGAAATTGATTCACAAATATTCACAATTTATCAACTTTGACATTCTTTTGTGGCAGAGTCGTACAGAAACAGTTGAAGAACCAATTGAAGAAGAAAAGAAAGATGAAAATAAAGCAGCGGAGGAAAAATCTGAAGATGAAAAGAAGAAAGATGAGTATAAAGCTGAAGAGAAGAAAGAGGACGAGACTGAGGAGGACAAGGATAAAGCTAAGGAAGATGAAAAGAAGGAAGAAGAAAAGCCAAAAACTAAGAGTGTTGAGCGTACAGTTTGGGATTGGGAGAAAATGAACGCAATGAAGCCCATTTGGATGCGTAAACCTAACGAAGTTGAAGAACAAGAGTATAAGGACTTTTACAAATCGATTACAAAGGATTATGATGAACACTTGGTTAGTGGTTTTTAAGTTTATATTTTTATAAAATTTCTAAATTATAGTCACACGTACATTTCTCGGCTGAAGGTGAAGTTAGCTTCAAATCTATTTTATATGTTCCAAAAACTTTGGCAAATGATGCATTCCAAAATTATGGAAAAACTGAAGAGAATATTAAGGTTTTTTAATTTAAACCTTAAACAAAAATATTTTCAATTTATAGCTCTACGTTCGTCGTGTTTTTATCACCGATGACTTCAAAGATATGTTGCCAAAATATTTGTCCTTCATTCGAGGTATTGTAGATAGCGATGATTTGCCTTTAAACGTTTCTCGTGAAATGCTTCAGCAAAATAAATTGCTCAAAGTAATTAAAAAGAAATTGGTCCGTAAAGTACTTGATATGTTGAAAAAATTGCCTGCTGAGAAATTTGATGCTTTTTGGAAGGTTTTTTTTTGAATTTAGAATTTCACAAAAAATAATTTTAAGGAGTATTCAACAAACATTAAATTGGGTATCATGGAAGATCCATCAAATAGAACTCGCCTGGCCAAATTACTTCGTTTCCAAAGTTCTGCAGATGACAAGAAGCAAGTAACATTACAAGAATATTTGGAAAGGATGAAAGAAAATCAGCCAGCAATTTATTATGTAGCAGGAACTTCTCGTCAAGAACTTGAAAATTCTCCTTTTGTTGAACGTTTATTGAAAAAAGGATTCGAAGTTTTGTATCTGACAGAGCCTGTTGATGAATATTGCATTCAAGCTTTACCTGAATATGAAGGAAAAAAATTCCAAAATGTTGCTAAAGAAGGTCTTAAACTCGATGAAGGAAAGAAATCTGAAGAAGTATTTAAACAACTTGGTGAACAATTCAAAGTGCTCATTGATTGGCTCAAGGATAATGGTCTCAAGGATTTGGTATAGAAAAAGTTTTTAAATATTTTTCATTTTTTATCCATTCAGATTGAAAAGGCTGTTATCTCTCAACGTTTGACAAAATCTCCGTCTGCTTTAGTATGATTTTGGTCGGATTAAATTTTTGAAATTTTCTTTTTAAAGGTCGCCTCTCAATGGGGATGGTCTGGCAATATGGAACGTATCATGAAGTCACAAGCTTATGCTAAATCTAAAGACCCTTCTCAAGAATTTTATGCAATGATGAAAAAGACATTTGAGATCAATCCTCGCCATCCTGTTATTAAGGAATTGCTCAGGTTTGTTTTTACTTTTTTATATTTCCGAATATGATTTTTTATTTATAGACGTGTACAGGATGACCCAGAGGATCCGTGAGTATTTTTTAATTTTTGTTTACAATTTATCTTTCTAATTTACTGAAGTTTTAATTAAACACCTTTTAAAGAGTTGCCAAATCTACCGCACATTTATTGTTTGAAACAGCAACTCTTCGTTCAGGTTATTCACTTTCTGACCAAGTTGGATTTGCTGAACGTATTGAAGGAGTGAGTTTATTTTATTTTTTAGTATTTTGTATAATTTTTTGTTTAAGATTTTGCGCAAATCACTCGACTTGAGCGCAACTGCAGAGGTTGAAGATGAAATGGAAATTATCGAGGACGAAGTTGAAGAAAAGAAGGATGAAGATGAAAAGAAGGAAGATGAAGAAACTATTGCTGAAGAGGAAGGTGTGACTGATGAAAAGAGTGAAGAAAAAGATGAAAAGCCTGAGGAGTTAAAGGATGAGGAGGCAAAGAAGGATGACGAGAAGCCAGAATCGGATGAGGAAAAACATGAAGAGCTCTAGAATGTTAAACAAGTTTGAATGATTTTTTTACATATTTCCATCCATTCCTAAGGCCTGCAACAAAGTTTAAGACGAATTTACTTCCGAATTATTTTTTTGGTTTCTCCTGCATTATTCGATTACAGGCCATTTTCTGGGTATTTTTGTGTGGGAATTTTTCAAATTATCGTTTTTTTGGTTAAACTCTTTCCCGACTCCTTTTTTAAGATTTCAATTTTTCTTTAATATTTTTGTATTTCTTCCTTCTAATTTTGTTTATGATTTTAAAAATCGATCTTCTCGTTGTCCAAGAAAAAATTTAATGATGTCATTTATAAAATGGCAGAAACATAATTAAGGTTCAAAATCATCATTAAATTTTTTTTAAAAAACTCAGAAAGCAATCCAAAATTGTTTTATCTTTTTTGTTATATT